ATAAAGTTAATTATAGTACTTTCTATTATCGGAACTAAGGCATATAAGCCCGAGTTAATAGTATCTTATAATCGCGTCGATTATCTAATCTAGAGGAAAATATCCTTAAGTACTTTATTCTCGATTTAGATTTATAAGGATTTCCCCCTCGGCTTCATAATATTAAAGAAATAACTAATTAATTACTTATTAACCGCGATATATTACTTATCGGCATATATTAGGCTTATAACTTTATTAAGTAATACCTAGACCTTAAGATATATTTTTTTTAGAAATATAATTACTAGAGAGCTAAATATAAAGATCTAATTATTATCTATAATTAATTTCGGCTTATAGTAAATATAATCGCCAAGTATAGTATCTAATTAAATAATATCTATAATTTTAATAAGACTAGCTTCCTTATAGGTATAATTATAAGCGAAATAATTATTATAGGCTTAGAAAGGCATTTAAAGCTAAAATTAATATAACCTAGAAACTAGGAATAGATTATAATAATCTAAGTAATTAATATAGAAGGCTAATTAATCCCGCCGCTTATTATTAGCGCGGGCTAATATTACCTTACTAATTAGTACTAAGAAAATAACCTCCCGGGCAATTAGGCTATTATAATAACCCAAAATAGCTAGACTAATAATAAGATTAGTCTTAAGTAGCTTAAGTACTTTAACCGGTATATAACTAATTAATTAATTAGTTTTTATTATCTTTTAATCCTTAATAGCTATAAAAGTTATTATTTTATTAAATTTAAGAGATATTATAAGGAGAATAAGATTATCTAGCTTTATATATTACCTTATTTATTTTATTTATTTTAGCCCCTTAATATTAAGTACTTTAGTATATTAAAATAAGCTTATAATTAAGAAATAAAGTATCTAATTAGATCTTCTATAACCTATATTTTAAAGACTAAGTTCTTTTTAGCTTTTTATACTATATATAAGGCTATTATAATAAAAAGAAATATTAGGGGGGCTTTTAAAGGAGCTAGCTTTATTCCCTTTGACCTAGAAGCTATAGTCTTAAAGCTTAATATATAGCTATAGACTTTAATACCTACCGAGGAGGAAGCTAAGCCCTTAACCCCTTAGGTTTTAAAGACTCTAAAAATTATACTTAAGGCTAGATCTTAGTCTAAATACCTCGAGAGATAAATCAAAAGGTATTATAATAGCTTACTAGAGTTAATTCTAAGAGCTCTTAAGTCTCTTATAAAGGATATAATAGCAATAATATATAAGAATATATTATTAAGGGCTAAGGTTAAAGACCTTTAGGAAGTAAATAAGATATTAAGCTAATAATAGAGGGCAAAAAGGACCTAGCTATAGAAAAGAGGGGTTATAACGGTAAAGGAAAGAAGGCAAGTAATTAATTAAATAGATACTAATGCATAGGTAATGGCGGAATTATCGCGGAGTAGTAGTTAAGGGAGGTTAACGCGACCGGGTATTCGGCGTTATAGTATCTGCGGTAAGCCTAGCTATAATATAAGGACCTATTAAGTAATAATTAAGATATCTAAGGAAGAATATAGTAAGTAATTTTAATTAATTAAATAGTTTATAGTATTTATATTGCGATCTAAATATAGAGGGTTAGGATTTTTAATTAACTTATTTATATAATTAACTCACTTATTATATATATTAAGCCCTATAGTAAACTATAACTCTTATTAGTATCTTAGTTACTATAGGAAGCTATTATAATAGACTTTATTATTAAATTATTCTTATTAAAAGAATTAGCTATTAGAAACTTTTATAATAATATTCTTATTATTATAAATAGACTTATGAAATTTTCTTATTTTATACCTTATAGAGAATTAATAATAGCTAAAGAATTTATTTATTTCTTTTACTTTTATATTACTAAGATATATAGTATATTACTTAAAATTATTATTAATTAAAGATTATTATTTACTTTAAAATTTTAGTAAAGCCTTATAGAATACTTAGGAATTAACTATAAGCTCTCTATAGTATACTATAAGGAGATAAATAGCTAAATAGAATATATAAACTAAATATTAAAATAATACCTTTGATATTATATTAATTATAAATAAACTAATTAAGTTAAAAAGTTATTAGCTACTTAGTTAGCCTATAATATAGCTATAAATAAGAGCATAAAGACTATATTAATATATACTAACTTTAAATTTATATTAGATACTTATTAATAATTATAGGATATTATTATTAATCTTAAAGTAATCCTTATTAGCGACTAATTATATAATCTATATAAAGAAATATAAATAGAACTTAAATTTATTAAGAATAAAATAATAACTTATATTAATAAAAAAAGGATTAAGAGATTAACTTTCTTAGAGGGAGATATAATTTACCTCGCAATAAAAAATATTAAAATAAAATAATAAAATAAAAAACTTAATTATAAATATATTAAATTATATAAAATTAAAAAGAAAATCTTAAAATATAACTATAAATTAGACTTATTACCTAAGGTTAAGCTCTATTTAATTTTTTATTTTTTATTACTTAAATTAATATAAGATATTATCTAAGTAAAAATAAGTAATAAGCCCGATATAGAAATTAATAGATTAGAAAAATATATTATAAAAGCTATCCTTAATATAAATAAAATTAATAATAAAATAATATATTTTATTAAATAAAAGGATTACTTTAACTTAGAAAATATATAAGAACCCTTAGAATATCTTATTAATATATAATACCTTTTAAAGAACTTTTATTAATAATATTAAATAAAAATAAAATAGACTTAGGAATAATACTCTAATTAATAACCCTATAGTCCTCTAGTAATTAAACCTTAGATAAGGCCTAAGCCTCTAAATTATAATAAGCCTCCTTATCGCGATACTCTGCCTTATCTAGCTTATCTAAGTCCTTATAACTATAATAGATTATCTCAGTAGCCTTCTTATAAAGATACTTCTCTTAATAATAAAGCTACTATAAGCGAGATAAGACCTCTAAAAAGTCTACCTTAGCCTTCTCCTTTTATTCTTTAAGATAATCCTTCTCCTAAGAAATATAGGCAATTAGAATATATTAATATATACCTATTACTAAGGAAAATAATAACCTATAAGCTTATAAAGAAATATGACTAAAATCGCAATTTATATATTTCTTCTTAATATAAAAGTTATAATATTATTTCCCTTTAGCTACTATATATAGATAGTAATTAGCATAGAAGTATATAAAATACTAAGGTATCTTAAAATTAAATTTATTAATTAAGTGAGAAAAATTACTATAGCGCATAGTAATAAGTTTAGGGTAAGAAGATAATTTTTCGATATAACCTAATATTATATTAATAAAAGAAATAATTATAAGTCTAAGTTACTTATGGTAATACTTAGTCTCTAAAGCTAGCCTTAGGGATAAGACTAATAGAGGGGGAGCCTTATATTATAGCTATAATAAGATTAAGGGTAATAATACTAGGTAGAAAATTAACCCTATTATATTAGCTAATTATAGGGTAAGAAGATATATAAGTTAAATAAAATTAATTTAATTTCTCTCGACTATATAAATCAAATATTAATAGCTTAATTTAACTCGACTATATTTAACCTAAAGACTAGATAAATATATAGAATATATTTACTATATTTTCTTATATAATAGCTACCTTAGCTATTAATATAACTTAGTTATACTTAATACCTTAAGTATATTACTAGACGTAATATTATATTACCCTTTAAGGTTATATAATATTCTCCTCTGCTAATATAAACTAGCACGACTAGTTTATCCCTTAGGAAATACCCTCTCGTTATAGATAGGGAGAGCGGTAAGCGGGATAAGAGAGAATACTATATATTAGAGCATAACTAAGGCTATAAGGAGATAACCTAGTAGAAAGATATTTATTTAGGGCTATTATAATAAGCTTCTTTTATTATATAAGCTTTAAAGAAAAATTTTTTTAAATTAAATGTTTTTTTTAATTATAATAATATAATAACTAAGGTATATATTAAGTAATATTAATAGCTAAAATAAATAATTAAACAAAAAGTAATAAAGTTTAATATATATTAAAAAAATACAAAGGTATAAAAATCTAAGTAATTAATTTTTATAAATATAATATTAAAAAATATTAATCTATATAAATTATTATATTTTAGCGAATATTTATATAATATACTTAATAATATAAATATCTAAGAATAGAAGCTTATAAGGAATATATATATATTAATAAAAATTAGTTTAAATTACTAATTAAATATAAAAGCTAACTTAGCTACGCTTAATAATAAGTATTTTTTACTAGTATAAGAGGCTAGCTCTAAGAATTAGTCTTCTAAGTTTAATAAATTTATAAAAGGTTTAATTATAAAAAGTCTAATAGTATTATTATATACTTGCGCGTAATAGCGCTTATTTTAGATATCCTAGACTTGTTAAACTATTTACTAAATAAAGTAAGAAAAAAACAAATCCGCGAATTTAAGAAGTAGCCTAAACTTAATTTACTTAGATATATCTAAACTAAGTTTATTTATAGAGAGAATAAGGTATTAATTAAATAATGTTTTTTATATTAGCCCGCCTTAGCCCGCATTAAGTTAGTAAATAGTTATGGTCATGCGACCAGCTTGTATTACCTAGCCTGCATATAACGAAAACATCACGGTTAATACTGTCCAATAATGGCCCAACAAGTATATGCACACATTATGGACGCCCGATCCTGCCCAATGCTGCCCAAAACTGCCAGAGGTTTATGGCGGGAGAGAAATCCGGGAGCTGGAAACGTGCTGTTCACTCATTAGACCTCCTCTTAGCACTTTTCGCATACTACAGAACGACAACTATCTCTGGATAGTGATCATTCAATCGTCATGTTTCGTCAACTCCAACGCACAGCGGGCCTTCGTCTGCTTCTGATCTTCCTCATGGCAGAGCTGGCTGCCGCCGCAGATGATTCCGAATTTGCCTTTAACTTCTTCACGGATATCGCGCCGTATGTTATAACTCTTGTAACCTGAAGATGGTCTTGCTAATTTTACAGACTTCTTGCCCTCTTTGGGGAGCAGTTTGCAGCACAGTTCCTCAGCGAAAGCCTCTCATTTGAAGATCATATTATTATTGCGATCGTACCTCTCGGAATTCTTACGATTATCGCCAGTGCGATCCGGGTTCAAGGCCCAGAGATTGTACGAGCTTTCATCGGACGCGCAAGGGAAACCAGAGCAGTCGCAGAGCTGGAAATAATGTCTTCCACATCTCACGATGTCTGCGAGCTCTTTGACGGGAAATCGATCGTTCGGGTTATGGGCAGGCCAAGAATTATGCAACTTCTGATTTTCCCCCATGAGTATGACATGCACAGAGGGCGCAATGAGAGCGGGTTAAGTACGGGAGAGTCTTGCGGAATACACCTGCTCGACACTGCCACCGAGACAGCCGCAGCCGACAATGGGGAACAAGCAAACGACCCTCCGAAGTTGATGGTACACTATAGTAAGCTCGCGAGAGGCCCTTCTGCCATTAACATCACTGACCAGATCCATTGAAGAGCACCACGACGACGGGTTCGAGCCCATTCAAGAACTTCTGATAGGCCTGAGAAAGCGTTGTCGAGAGTTTTGGAAAAGATCATCTCCTCCAGACGACGATACTGCGGTGCTTGAGGCAACCAGTGGCACAGAAGGCCACCACCCGGCACATCCTCCTACTGAGCCGGAGCCCCTACCCCCCAACATGCAGCTCAATCTTGTTCCTGACTTCTCCAAGCAGAAAGAGGAGCTGCGAATGGCCGTAGCCGTCGCAATCATTGTTCAGCTCGGTCTTCTTGTCCTTGCCGGTGTTGTGGTTTTCTACGGCCCATTGAAGGACACCAAAAACTTTGAGCGCAAGTCCTACGGCTTCTCTTGTTATCTCATTGGGTCACTTCTTCTCTCAACAGGAATCGCGTTTTGCTCGATCGCAGTGGGGAATAGTACCGATGAGGATGTTTGGAAGGCGCGCGACTCTGACACAACCAAGGCACTCCCTCGGCTAATTTGGCTCCAATGTCGTCAAAGTGTCAATGACCAGGGCTTTCAAGGCTACACTATCCTTGCTGGGCCAAAACGCCGTATCATGACATCTTGTAGTGAGCGGCCTAGGATTCCTGGCGGCGGGACGACTGAAGCTCCAGCGCAGAACGAGACAAAACCTACGAGGAGTGGAATTACAAACCATTCTGTCGGGGATCTGGCAATGGACAAGGTACGAGCTTTCGACGGAATATATCACTTGGTACAACATTAATGTTTTTATTCTTAGGGTTCGTGCAAGACCGCTCCGGGGACGCCATGGAAATTTCTTACTGTCCTCGGCTCCTTGGCTGCTGGGTCCGGATTCATCACTCAGTTTGTAGGCCTTCGTGGCCTCCCTTATCCATGTTCTATTGCGCAACTAGGAGCTATAGTTCTCATGGCTGTGATTCGTGGATTTATCCGCAGGCACCTCTCGCGAAGGCCGGAATCTCTCGACGCTACCCCCGAGTACGAAATCGACTTTCTTGCCATGAAAATTACCTACTGTCAAAGTTTTCGGGAATATGAGCAACCCTCAGTGGATGAGCCAAGGGACGAAGGTTTGGATATGGTCTACCAGTGGGAAGTCCTGGCTCCAAAGCCTAGGTCGAGGGATTTATTTTTCTCCCTGCCTCAAGTTGTCAGTGCGCCGTCTGACCGGGCCAACGGAAGGGACAGCTCCAACCCAAGCACTCGGCCACCGTCAAGTCAACAGCTTCTCCAAGTACGCAAGCGGCTTGGCAAGTTGTGCCAATGGGAATCCCATTCAAAGGATGCTTCAAAGGCACTGGCACAATCTGTCGAGTGCTTCATGAATACTTTCTGTAAGAACCTCAAGAACTGTACCGAGGAGCCCGAGTGGGCTATCAGAGTTGCTAGCTCGCTCTTTTCCAACAGTGGCGTTAAAACAGAAGATTCGGTATTCATACAACTGCAGAGACCTGATGGCGAGTGGAAAGTGGCCAGTGAACAAATAGAAGCCATTCTATCTCTTTGGATGGCGACTATTGATGCAAGACGTTCAGCAGAGAAGCAATCCAAAAAAAGTCACACATCCGATGCCCATTTCGGAGGCCCTAGACGTGAGTTCTACCGCATTCTCGGATACGATTTTGATGGTGTACTTCTGCGGGATCTGTCCTGGTGGGTTGACGAAGGAATCGTCGAAGAGCTTGATGATGACACGGGTTCCAAAACGCCCACAAGAGCCAACATGGACCTCGTCATTGGGTTCCACGGCAGATCGGAAGATGGTGAGTACGCTACGCTCATTATCGCTGGCCGAAGCATCACTAATATGCTCGATAGAACAAAAGAGATTGAAACCACGACGGAGTCAACTCGAAATAGGGTATAGCCCAAACGAACCCAGGCCGACCGAAGTCCAAGAAAGGGAGCTCGGCCTCATTTCCTCTGGAGACCTTCCCACAATCCTCGCTCAACATCTCTTCACAAGTTTCATGTGGGCAATTGCCAAGGACTTAGAGAAAAACGTCCTGGACCAGGTATCGTCCGAGAAGCAAGGAAACCTCGATGTTAGAAACAAAGATGCATTTGATCCTGGTCTTTTCTCAAAGACTTGGAGTCGCCCGACGCTACAGCACCGCCAACTGACAAATGTTGTCCGACAAATGGAGTCGTTCGGATTGGGGAGCAGAGGAGACATCCTTCTCTGCATGATCCCTGCCCTTAGCTTCCAAGACCTGCTTCCTAACCGCGCCATACTAACCCTACTCCCCCGGATTGCTCGAGAACACAGATGGGCAGAGACTGCTCGGCTGTACCGCAACTTACTGGACACTACTATCAGGAGTGACCCGCCTGAGCAGTTCTGTTACTCTGCAGTTGCCGCGACAGTGAACTTTCTCCTGGTTGCGAACGAGCCTCGTAGCGGCGTTTGGCCGCGCAGAGAATTAGCGAGCGAGCTTAGTGGAGTCTTGTGGATGCTCAAGACCAAATTCAGGGACATGATCGCTCAACTCCTACCTTTCTACCATTGCCAAGGCCGCCGCAATGACCTTTGGAGCTTGCTCCCAGAGGAAACTTTCCGAAAACAGGTCAACATTCGCCACGAAACAGCGGAGGCATTGGGCATATCGGAGGACCACAAAAGAATGTTTAAAGAAATCAAGGATGCAAAGGACAAGGCAAGTCGACCTGAAAACAAGAACTCATATCTTGTCGCTACCCCTATCGCCTTCCCTCGAGACGTGGGAAAATCAAGCGACATTTTCGGTTGGAAGCCAATTCACTACGCTTGCTGTTCAGAGTCGGAACCTTTCTGGCGTTACCTGAAGATGCGCGGACTTCAGCAAGCTCCTGAGATTCTCAATCTCTTTGAGCAGAGCCCTTTCCACCTCGCCGCTGCCATGGGAAATCCAACGGCATTGCATTACTTGATTGGCGCTTTGGAGGTTGAAAGAAGATTGGAGAAGGAGCAGCTTCAGCAAGCATTGGACATGGTCGACATCAACGGCATGACACCGCTTCACTGGGCAGCAAAAAGCGGGAGTCTGGAGTGCGTGGAACTGATCACGAAAAAGCAAAAGCAATCATCAACAAGGACTGACATCTGGGGTCGCCAGGCTCTCCATGTGGCCGTCGGTGTCCTGGATTGCCAGATCATCAGCCAGCTGTTGGAGACGAGCCGGTGGTCATTGAAGATTGACAAAACTGGCTGGTGCCCAGTGAAGTATCTTCTGGATACATACTCCACTCCCTTGGAGCCGAGAAGCCATGACGCTGGCCTTGATGATGGGTCAGAGTCTTTTGGAATGTCAAGCTGCAGTGAAGAAGATACCCCCGACTGGGTAGATGGGATCATTGACATCATCGATGAGGCAGAACCGCGAAGGGACAGCTTAACCGACTCTACCCATCAAAACGCACTGTTTGCCTTTGAGCGACTAGCTCGACGGATGCATGGCTATCGAGATGAGGATGGGCAGACATTTCTTCACCTCGCTGCGACGTACACTCCGATTTGCACTGTCGAAAGGCTCATACAAAGGGGATATGACGTCGAAGCTCGCGACTCGGAAGGCCAGACCCCTTTACATGCTGCGATTCTAGCTGAAAACTACAACGTGGCTGAGTGCCTGGTTGATATTCATCAGGCTGACCTGTCGGCAGAGGATTATGCCGGGTCGTGGACCCTCATCTTTGCTATTGGAACGAGGTTCCGGCACATGATTGACCGCATATTGGCTACGGACTGCGACTTGGATGGACAAGACGAAAATGGCAGGACCGTCTTACACAATGCTATTCACCCCGTGGACCCCGATTTCTCCATGTGGCTTGTCGAAAGCCTGGTGAAAAAGGGATGCGATCCCAAAATTGAGGACTTGGATGGGAGGACAGCGCTTCACACAGCCCTAGAGTTCGGATACGACCAAGTTGCACTATCCCTCCTCAAGCCTGACCGTGTTCGCCAAACACTTGACAACTATCAGGATCAGACACTGCTCATCGCAGCTTGTTATGGTGGTTGTCACGAGTCAATACCTCGAATTCTTGAATTATGGCCGAGTATCATGAGCAAGACGGACCCAGATTTTAAAGCACCGCCAATCTCCTGGGCCTGCGCCTCTGAAAAAAAGGCAGCTGTGCAGGCCTTACTTCAGGGTAAAGATCTGAACATGAGCCCAGATCGCAATGGGTGCACCCCAGCACACTATGCTGCCACAGCAACGGACAATGATATCCTCCAATTGGTTCTTAACATAGAATCTGTGGAGCCCGCAACCAAAGACGGCTCTGGTTTGACGCCAATAGATCGTGCAATCCTGGGACAGCCGGTGAATCCCAAAGCAGATCAGCGAGGAAATGACAGCTGGAGGTCAAGTAACGCTCGTGACTTGCTCAAGCATAGAAAGACCTCTGCCGGAACGCGACTTGAGTATTTGAAACTGATCTACACTGAAAATTACCGCCACCTCGACGGGATTGTTGGGGATGTGCTTGAGCGTATCGACGATGCGAACCTGGATGAGGACACTCTCCTCAAACTGATTGACGACAGTTTTGAATCCTGGTACCCGCGTTCATTCGAAGCATATGTGAGGAGGGCTCTGACAACGGCGACTTGGAAACGAATCCCCCTGCCTTTTCATCGGTCGCTCAAAATGAACACCCTTGGCTTAGTGGAGCAATTGATGAAACACAAGGCGGACCCAACAGGGTACGATGGGGATAATTGGTCCTGCCTAGACTACGCCACAGCTTATTCTCCCAACAATCCCAGTCCCTGGCAAAGGGCCAATGAGGAGCTCTCACGGTATTTTGCGAAACATCTCCCTGCGGAGCATCCCCGAACAACCCCCATGACGCCGAGCTCACTGGATGGAGAATATTTGGAGCCCTCCATCGAGACAAAACCGTGTACTGTCCCCAGGCATTCCGAGTGCCCTGGTATCCACCGTGAGTGGCTCGTTGTTTAGCAGCCTTGAAGTGGTTACTCACTAGTGTTTGATAGAGATCCACATGCTGATGCGCGAGACAATTCAACATCGTGACCGACTCCGAAAACACAGGTGCATCATAAGCAAAGAATGCGTTCCTCCGTTATCCAAGTCAACCCGGTACTTCTATTTTGAGCTGGACGTCCTCCCAAATTGGAAATCTAAGTAAGTCCTCGCTTCCCACGTATCATCGCCCTTACTATTAATAAATCTCACCATATTATTTAGAGCCCTGAGAGTTGGTTTCTGCCACGAAACAACTTTGAAAAAGAATCAACTGCCCGGAGATTTCGCCCGTTCATGGGGATACGAAGGGAATGACGGAAATGTGTACTTCGGTGACCTTGTGGCACCATCAGAAGCCGGCCATAATGGTGGACGGGCTTCACACTTCGGTGCCGGTGACACTGTAGGGGTCGGCCTTGACTTGAAAACCGGGAAGAGGATCTGCACCCTCAATGGTAGGAAGATAGATTTTGGTAAGTTAGAACTCGGGGTTCAATGACGGAAAAGCATTTGCATTACTTTGCTAATTGTTTTTAGGATGGGATTTTAGAAATCGGGGAAGGAAACCTGGGAAAATGTACCCATGCATTGGCTATGGTGATCTAGAACAGTGCGGGCTGGGCTTGAGGGTCAACTTTTCTGGAAAGCCGCCACATCTGTTCAAGTACGAAGGGCCTTTTGTCTCATAATTGAAGACTCTATGTCTCGGACTTGCCACCATATAGAGCCGAAGCTCTACTCGGCCCGTTTAGAGTCAGAATATCCCTTCTCATTTTCGACCTCATCTAACTTTGTTCCGTCGACAACCCCGCCAGCTTGCTCCAGTGACAATCCCTGAGTTTCGGGGTATAGGAAGTAGATAATGGTGGTCTCTACCGCGAGCCAACACGTGTAAACGATGTACATCCGCCATTGAATGGCACGCAAGGCGATAGGGTTGACGAATCCATTGAAACCGCCGCCAACACGGTTGAGCCACAGCATAATAGCCATACCTTTGCTGCGCTGCAGATACGGGAACACCTCGGTGATATAGATGTATGCCAACGGCATCATGATGTTGTAAAACCCGTAGTAAACGAAGATGAGCGCTACAACGGCCCGACTAGCGTGTTCGTTGCTAGTGTCGTTGGAGTAGACGGCTGACGAAGCTGTCCAGCAAGCATATACAAGAGTCATGCCGCCGTACGAGACCAACCACTGTACGCGTCGGCGTGCAAACTTTTGGACATAGCTCCCAGCAACACCGGTGACCAAGTTCCAGCACATGAGGCCAAGGTTGATCTGGTTCTGCTGGAGGTGGGAGGTAATGCCGATGGTTTTTAGGACCTTGGATAGATAGAAAGAGACGAGTCCATTTCCAGACCACTGAGCAAAGAGGCCAACCCCAATGGCAATAAGCACACGTCTCACGTTTGCTGAAGTGGAAACAAGCTCCTTCCAAGGTCGGGAGCTGCTTTCTCTCTCTTTCTTAAGCGTCTCGGTAATTTCCTCGTATTCAGCCGACACGAAAGGTGAGTTCTCGTCCCCTTCAGCGTGATACTTGACCAGGATAGCTAGGGCTTCCTCAGTGCGGTCGTTGGCGATCAGAAAACGAGGAGACTCGGGGATAAACCTTGGATGTATGTCAGTCCTCGATTCAAATCGTATACGACCTGATGCCCAAGTGGCGTGAGATGGCAAAGCGCAACTTACCAGATGAAAGACAGCTGTAGCAGTGAGGGAAGCACCTGGAATAGGGTCGGGAGGCGCCAGCTCCAGCTAGTCCCCCAATCAAAAGTACCTAGCGTGATACCTGCAGCAAGAATTGCACCGGCATACCAGCTCTCGTGGAAGATGCCGCTGATGGAAGCACGCTCTTTCGGATGGCAAAGCTCCGAGAGAAGAGCGGCGGCCCCGGCAGTGGCAAAAGGAAGACCAAACCCCATAATGACTCTTGACGCAATCAACATGGCCACTTGATTGAGACAGTCGTTAGTCAACAAGTAGGTTGTAACACGGCGAGGTGACTGTCCACCGTCTTTTTGATGGGCACCCAGACAGTGCTGTGGGATTATATCACTCACTGTTGATGGCGGCAGTTTGGATGGCAACACCAAGGATGACGATCACTGAGCCTAGTACAATTCCTGGCTTCCTGCCCCAGCGATCGTTGAAGTAAGGGACAAGAGGGATGCCAAACATGGATCCGAAAGTCATGCTTGAGGTGATGACGCCCAAGATGGCACCATCTGGGTTACCAAATCCTATTACCGGTGGTCAGCCCTTGAACTGGCTATTGAGCTGATGAAAGCAGATTCCGGAATCGACCTACGTTCATTCCACTTTTCCACAGCCTGGAGTCCATTTAAGACGCTGGCATCGAAGCCCGAAGTCATCTCTACTCCTATGGCAGCAGGGACCAGAAGGAGGTAGAGCTTCCTAAGGTTAGGTTTCTGGTACCAAGGTGTTTGGTCATTAGCCAGAAGCCTCGTGGACTCGACCACTGTGGTATTTGGCTCCTTTTCATCCGTGAGCGAGGCGGCGGTCTGGGTTTTGGAAGTAGCCATGACGGTCCAGCTGTCGAGAACGAAATGTTCTTTGAGCGTTTCCAAAGTATGCACGAGTGCCAGAGAGGCGGAGGGAGGCCTGAAGAAAGTGGTAACAGCGATGATCAAGGTAGTATAAACCTGGGTATGGATTTGATCAGAGCAAAGAGAGCAGATTGGCAGGGGGGATATTTGTACGCCGTGTACAGAGCCCAGTCAAAGCATGGAGATATCTCACTGGCTTTCAGCTTACCGGTCATAACCATAGCCAAGATCTCTAATTATGGTTCAATTGCCTCTATACGCGTATTGCGGCTCTGGGTTGGTTCCGACAATATCACTCAAGGTTGCGTGATGATGCTAAGTATATCCACATGAGTGCATGTTTCCGCACCTAGTGTATGTCACTATAGAGTAGCGATATGACGACATCTCTATAATCTGAAGCCCCTGCACTAGTGGTATGGGCTATGGTATGCAAGATTGAAAGATAAGCGTGTTTATCTGGACTAAAAGGGAAGGGTGAAGCCCTCCAAGTTCGGTGGGTTTCCCCATCCCACCGGGTATCCCAACTCTGTGAGGGTTCCGCTGATGTCGCATGTTGTTCCGTGATTATATGTTCGCCCGTTATTTCCGCCTTAGTGCATGTCATCACAGGACAGCGATATGGCGATGTCTCTATAGCTTGAATCCTCCAGACAGATAGTATGGGTTATGATATTTACCGATTGGATAATAAGCCTGGTTATTTAGGCTAATTGCAATCCTACGACCTCAAGGCAAGGATATAAGGTGTAAAGATCAGTAATATTAAAAGATAGGGATACTTCTACCTCGCCACAAAGAACTTTTACTATATATCATAGCTTTAGTTAGACTTTGTCGAAAGGTATTCCTTTAGGAGCAAATTACTAGACTATCTCTCGCTCGCTATACCTTGTGGCTCATGTACACCAAATAATATTACTGATCCCTATACCCTGCATCGGCATAGTTACATACATACCTGCTGGTAGGTATGGCCCTCATGCAAACGATCTTGGTCTGCGTCTGGACAGCAACCGCGCTCGCCTACAGACATCAGATTATGCAGAGTAATGGTTCTGATCCCTGTCTGTTCTCACTACTGTCCATTATGGCGTGACTTTGTTTGGATACTCTGATTGGCTTGCAGATGGCCGCTGGGTATAGCATTACCCGTGAACGTATATGGAGGGATTTCTCTCCAATGCTGATGCCATGTCGCTTAAATACACCCGAAGTTGTGACATTGAATAGCGTTGTTGCAAGTCTTGGTCAATCCGTCATATGCACACCTGGTACCCTTGACAACGTCTTCAACCTACGCCGCCAACCGCACCGTTCATCAAGATGTCTTCGGGTATTCTCAAAGTGAAGGGCGAGAAAGTAGTCGACCAGAATGGAGATTCGGTGATCCTTCGAGGTGTGGGAGTCGGTGGTTGGCTAAAGTAAGTTACGGTCTACTCCCTGGATCATGTGTTTGCTTCAGGTGTTTCGGTTGTGGATGTTGACAGCTCTTATCAGCATGGAAAACTTCATCACGGGCTATCCTGGACATGAGACACCTCTTAGATCAGCATTGCTCAAGGTGTTGGGACAAGAAAAGTATGACTTCTTCTTTGACCGCTGGCTCTATTGGTTTTTCAACGAGGATGATGCTCGATTCCTCAAGAGCCTAGGACTAAACTGCGTGCGACTTCCGTTCAATTACCGTCATTTTGAGGACGATATGAACCCTCGGGTGCTGAAAGAAAGCGGCTTTAAGCATCTTGACCGAGTCATCGAGGCCTGCGCCAAGGAGGGAATCTACTCCATCTTGGACATGCACGTTCTTCCCGGAGGCCAAAGTGGCGGTTGGCATGCTGACAACACGACCACGTACGCCGCCTTCTGGGACCACAAGGACTTCCAGGATAGAACTGTGTGGCTCTGGGAGGAGCTAGCTAAACACTACAAGGGTAACCCCTGGGTTGCCGGATACAACCCGATCAACGAGCCTGCAGACCCCCTCCACTATCGGCTACCGGCGTTCTACAGTCGACTTGACAAGGCCATCCGCGCCATTGATCCCGACCATATTCTCTGGCTTGACGGCAACACCTATGCTATGGAGTGGAGAGAGTTTGTTGAGATTCCAAACGCGGCCTACTCTATCCACGATTACTCTCTCATGGGCTTCCCGACTGGCCAGCGGTACGAGGGAACGCCGGAGCAGAATGCGGCACTTGAGGGGCAGTTTCTCCGCAAGTCTGAGTTCCAACGTGAGAAGGGCCTGCCTATCTGGAATGGAGAGTTTGGCCCTGTTTATGCGGACCCGAGGAAAGATCCGGACGCGGAGAACATCAACCAGTCGCGGTACAACCTTCTTGGTCAACAACTTCGCATCTATGACCAATATGCTATCCCATGGCACATCTGGCTCTACAAGGACATCGGTCTTCAAGGAATGGTAACTACCTCTCCTGACTCGGCGTACAACAGACTCATCGACCTGATCCTCAAGATCAAGAAGAAGCTGCAGCTTGACCAGTGGGGCAAGGATCCATCGCCAGACGTTGCAGCCGTTATCGATCCCCTTCTCGCATGGATCGACAAGGTGGCTCCCGACGCTAAGAAGACCTATCCTCCCATCTGGGGAACCCGGCGTCATATCGAGGCGCATGTGCTGCAGAGCTTCCTGGCTAATTCATTTAACGACCAATTTGCAGAGCTTTTCAAGGACAAGACGAAAGATGAGCTGGAGGAGCTGGCAAAGAGCTTTAGTTTAGATCAATGTGTGAGGCGGGAAGAGCTGAACAAGATTCTATCAGACCATGCTGAGGCGGTGGCAAAAGCCATATAAGAATAGGTTATCACCGTGGGAGAGCTCCTGGGTCGGCGGCCCAAGACATCCCTCGCGGGCCTCACCGCATGCGATACTGGTGTGGGACAGCCGACGGACGGAGACGACATGGTGGGGTTTGCTTGCTCTTTGTTGGCAGCTGATGTGCAAGCCATCGTGGTTAGCCTTTAGCCGGTGCATGACCTGGTGACGAGAATTTTCATAGGGGAATTCCACCGACAGCTACAGAGAGGTCAGAAAGGCTCGGTAGCACTCAGAGAGGCTCAGCTGGCACAAGAGGCTCGACGCCAATTGACTCCGGAACGGCTGGCCGGTTATGGAGCGTGGAGGTCCTAATAGTGTACTACGGATGCTGTTCGTAGGGGCGATGCAGACAGTTAATCTATTTATAGCCTACGGCATTCGGTTAGAGATTAGTTTCGGTTATTCAGACATGTACACCATCCCTTGTCAACTCGGCTCTTTATAACGTGGGGTGGCGGGAATAATGGTTGAAGCTTTATACAAGTTTACACACTTAACACACTGGTAGCTATTAAACGAGCGTATGTGCTTTAATTAGCTACAAACGAGACAAATCTGACCACACCGAGTAATTCAACCATCCCCTGGATTAGAACATTCTCCATGGCTTGTGAAGAAGGTCCATATCCCACTACTGTCAATGAGCGACCCTGGTTGTATATACTTGCAGAAGAAGCTAATTCTTCTCATCCCGATCATCTCTGCGATCCATTCCCCTCGGGTATGCCTCGATGCTCTCAAAATGATACAGTTGTGGTTCGACTGTATCCTTTTGGCGAAGCACATATCTCTTGAACCACCACGGCAAAACCTTTGTGAGTTGGTATTTCGCATGAACTGTTGTTGGGACAGCGAAAACATAGTCGAGTTCCTCCAGGCTCCTCTTGCTCGTCTCCGGCATAAACAAGAAGATTGCCACGAGAGCGACGATGTTCAATCCTGCATAGAACCCAAAACTTCCTGCAGGGGTGAATTCGAGCAGCATGCGTGGGAATGTAAGTCCCAATACCGCAGCCCAAAAGTTATTCGTCGCCACCGCCCACGACATGCCCATCTCCCTGTGGGAAAGAGGGAAGACCTCGGCAGAGTAGACAAACGCACAGGGACCTTCTCCGGGGGAGTAAAAGGCAACAAATGCAAAGATGAAGAATGCAATCAGGCCAAGATGAGCATCGGAGGATTCGGGGATGTAAAACGACATGCCTGTCCCGAGCAGAGTGAGAAACATGAAAGGGAATGTTGCGATGAGAAGGGCGCGACGGCCCCAAGTGTCGATCGTGTATAGGGCTGGGAAAGCAAAAGCGAACATTGTCTATTGGGATTAGTTTCGAGTAATGTGATGAGTTGGAGGTTGAGGCAGGTTAACATACCATTCCAAAACCCCATGATACGAGCAGCGCTGTGATATTGCTCGCTCCCGCTTGGGAAAAGATAGTCGATGAGTAGAAAGCAATGATGTTGACTATGTTCAAGGGCTGTTAGAGGCACATCTGATGTTTTTTCCACGTCATCTAGGAGAGGAAGGCTTACTACCGCACATCTGCTGGGCAATCATGATGATTCCAGAAGCCTGCGTTGCGCGACGCACTCGAGGAACGGTAAACAGTTCCACCGCTCTTGCGAAAAAATTTGACTTATCAAGCCCCTCCTCTTTTATCAACGCCTCCTCGGCGAGTAACTGCGAGTGAATGTAATACAGATCCCTGGCAGCTTGGAGTGGTGAGTTGCGGAGTCGGAGAAGCGACCTGTATGCTTTGGCATGCCTGCCCTTCTTGATCAACCATCTAGGAGACTCTGGGGCAAAGTAGATTCCAATGAGTAGCGGAACTGCCGGAATAAATGCTGACCCAAATTGAAGCCTCCAAGCGATGGCTCCGGTGTTAACCACGACAAGGTTTGCGGTGAAGCCTAGCATGATACCGAAAGCAACAAAGAGCTGCCATGACATGACCAAAGCTCCGCGGATGCTGGTAGGTGCGTTCTCGGCTGAGAAGACGGGAACTGTGACCTCCTTGAGGCCCATTCCAATGCCAAGTAGAATTCTGCAAATCAATATTTGCGGCCAACTTTGAGCAAGGGCTTGGCCTATGGGGGCGAACAGGCTGAAGATGGCGCCAACAAAGATTGTCCCTCGGCGGCCGATGAGATCGTTCAGAGGGTCGGAGAGCCAGCAAGCACTGATAAGGTCAGCATGGGCCGGCATGGACTTGTTTAGAGTGCGGAACTTACAAAAGGGCGATAGCCATGTACGGCGCGCCATTGATGGCCCCAACGATCCAAGAATTCCTTTCGCAAGTACCAGCGGCTGTGCAAGCCTCGCCAGTGTCCGCAATGTCGAAGGCTTGCGGGAACGACAAGTTGGCTCCGTTTGAACCCGTCTGATCCCAACCCTGAATGGCAGCGGAGATGGAATTCAAGAGGATGGTATAGTACAGCGATTTTGGGTGCCTCCATCGGTGTTCATGCTCGTCTCGGAGAATCTTTCGGTCTTCTTCATTCAGATCTTCGATCGACTCCAGATCGCCGGGGTTTTGGGCAACAAGGGCGCCTTTGCGGAGGTATGGCAGTGCCTCAGTCAATGCATGCTCCTGGGCGTAAGTTTCGACGTCTCGAAGGAGGTCTGCCTTTGGCACGCCGGCGAGTGGGTTTTTAATCCTTGGAATGTCAGAATCCATATACATCCGATGCTCTGGGTCTGGTACTCACTCGCCGGTAGTATTCTGCGTCATGCTGGCAACGCTTTGCCGCCGCGCCTCGTCGACGGGGGTTTCCAGGCTTTTGCAAAAACCAATGAGTTAGTGATTCGGATACGAGGAGTATAAGAGAGGGTGCTCATACTGTTCGGCTTGCTCAATGGGATAAGACATGGTTATGTTGGTTGTGATGAGTTGTTCTGGACGGGGGTGAATGCTGAAGTGGAGCATGGGGCACGTTGTTGTATTATACTCATGTTCCCCAGCTTTCTTCTAATGCGGAGAATCTGGGGTAGCATGAAATCCTTTTTCTTCGCATGATACCGCTGCCAAGGCTTGAGCTTGAGGGACTGTTTGCAGCGGCTCGGAGTATCCCCGAGCCAGAGTGTCACTGTCTTGAGTCAGTTTCTAATACAAGTAAACTAGTCTCATTTTCTCTTAGGTCTTCCTCGGTGGTTCCCCCGAGCCGGATTATGGAGATATGCTTAACAACCGCACCAATCGCATCGTGCCCGAGGTCAGTTAGGATAATAGCGCCACCGCGCACGCCGGTCAGAGAACGACTCGTGGCAAACAGAGCTGTTTCTAGTATAGGTAAACGTATCTAATGCGTCCCTCGTTCTTCGTCGGTGCTTCCTCCGAGCTGCAATTACGGAGACTTGCTCAACGGCCGCACTACTTCGCATCATGCCCGAGTTTGGTTCGGCGGATACCACCACCAGGTCGGTCGGTCGGAGAATGCCTTGTAGTATGCAGAGTAGAGTACACAAGTATTTGAAAGCTTATACCCCGCCAGTCACCGAACCAAAGGACACGAATAATCATCCTCCGGCAAGTACATTGCAATCATGGCATCCGTAACCGAGGTCCTACAGCGGAAGCCGCAGAATGTTGCGGTTCAAACCAACCCAGCTCACGACCTGCATCTCATCGAGACGGACATCCCGGAGCCAGGCCCCACGGACTGCCTAGTCCATGTCCGTGCAACGGGCATCTGTGGCTCAGATGTGCACTTCTGGAAGCACGGCCATATCGGTGACATGGTTGTGTGTGGCGAGAACGGTCTTGGCCATGAAAGCTCAGGGGTGGTGATCAAAACAGGAAAAGACGTGACGAGATTCAAGCCAGGTACGTGATTATTTGCTTAATGCCTTTCGGAGAATGGCCAACATTGACATCCCACCCATCCAGGTGACAGAGTCGCCCTTGAATGCGGAATTCCTTGTTCCAAGCCGACGTGTTACTACTGCAGAACCGGCCAGTACAACGCTTGTCCTGATGTCGTCTTCTTCTCGACTCCCCCTTATCATGGTACACTGCGTCGCTACCACGTCCACCCTGAGGCCTGGCTTCATTCTTTGCCTGATAGCCTTAGCTACGAGGAAGGTTCGCTGCTTGAGCCTTTGTCGGTGGCTCTCGCCGGTATCGACAGGTCCAACCTTCGTCTAGGGCAGCCGCTGGTCATTTGTGGCGCTGGGCCTATTGGCCTGGTGACCCTTCTGGCTGCTCATGCAGCGGGTGCGGCGCCGATCGTCATCACCGACCTAGATGAGAACCGCCTAGCCAAGGCCCAGGAGCTCGTCCCGCGGGTTCGCACCGTCCGCGTTGAGCGCGGTGATGACGCTAAGGGCCTGGGTAAGAAAATGGTAGACGCCTTGGGGGCAGAGGCACGACTAGTCTTGGAGTGCACGGGGGTAGAGTCCAGTATCCATGCCGCAATTTATGTAAGTAATACCCAGGAACGCCAAGGATGTTACCATTTACTCACGCATACAGGCTGCGGCGTTTGGAGCCTCCGTCTTCGTCATCGGAGTTGGGAAGGACTTTCAGAACATCCCTTTCATGCACCTCTCGTCGAAAGAGATTGATCTTCGCTTTCAATATCGATACCATGACACCTACCCCAAGGCAATCAGCCTTGTGACTGAGGGGCTGATCGACTTGAAGCCGCTTGTTACACACCGATTCAAGCTAGATGAGGGCATAGAAGCGTTTCAAGCGGCTTCGAATCCGGCGGCCAGGGCTATTAAAGTTCAAATCATTGACGAATGAACGGCCTGGTGACCTAAAATCGACCGCAGATACCGGCAGGGATGAGAGGACCTTTAAACTAGACTAGACTCTAACCACAATGTCAAACAACTGGCTTCCATGCCGGGAACCTAACGATGCATCATCAATTATTTCCATCAAAAACATACAAGTGATTCTTAAGTTATTAATGGGCTCTTCGTCAATACCTGCCGAGGTCTTCAAATATGACGGCTAAAACTTTATCGGGGAGGATAATAGCTACCGGGAGTATGAGTATGGCCGGTCAGCAGCAATAGAAGGAGGCATCAGGCAGTGTGATGTCGCGATTTGCAACTCAAAATATTGTTGGGACTTGTATCATAGGTTAAGTTAGGTGGGAAATAATGTACCATTCATATTATCCATTTCACTGGTTAGATATCCCTGTAGCGACCCAGCTGGAGCCTTAACACAGTCGATGGGATAATAAAATCTCTTTGCTCCTGTGTCGGGCAAGCGGGCTCAAACTAGTGACGGCGCCGAGGAAGCACTCCGAGCGGAGAACCGCCGACGAATCTCTCAGACGATGCATTTTGTCCCCATTTCGGCATCCGTTGGCGTAAGAGTGGCCAGGGTAGCATCGGAGGCGTAATCACATGCGGTTCCATATCTCCATCTAGTTCTTGGAGACCCCTCCCTTCACAAGGATCCAGTTGTTTAGACTTCGCGCTCGGCGGTTCCTCCGAGCGGGCTCTCAGGCTTCCCCACAGCCAAGGCACTAGTGTAGGAATGGCTGGTGTCATCCCTGACCGACGACGGATATCGTATATCTAAGGCGCGCGGACGCGTCTGAGTAGCCTCATGTGCAACAGCAAAAACAAACATGTCACTAACAGGCAAGGTTGCTATCGTCACGGGAGGGGCTCGGGGGATTGGCAAAGGCATCGTCCTCACCTTGGCGAAACAAGGTGCTAGGGTCTGTATTAACCTCCAGCCCAAACTTGTCGGGACACATGCTAAACCAACAGTATAGGTTGCCTTTACCTATGTTTCCGCATCCTCTAAACCTCACGCGGATGCTCTCGTACGCAAAGCCCAAGACCTCGGCTCCTCCGCCCATGCGATCCAAGCCGACGCTGCATCTCCTTCCTCCCCAGAAGCCGTCCTCTCCTCTACCCTCGCCGCCTTCAATGTCTCGAACGTCGACATCCTCGTCAATAATGCCGGCCTTGGGTCCGCTGCAACCCTCCTCGAAGAGATAACGCTCGAGGAGTATGACAGAATAATGAACGTCAACGTTCGCGCAGTCATCTTCATGACGCAAGCCTTTCTCCGATACGTCAATGCCGGCGGACGCATTGTGAATATCTCATCCATTTCTGCGAGAGGTGGCTATGCCACACAGTCAGTGTACTCGGCATCCAAGGCGGCTGTTGAGGCTTTGACACGTGTTTGGGCAACAGAACTGGGACACAGGTACGGCGTCACAGTGAATGCGGTTAATCCCGGACCTGTGGATACGGATATGTATAAAGCAGCTGGAGAAGTGCATTTGGCTCGGATGGAGGAGCAGAACAAAAAGACCCCAGCTGCTCCAAGGGCGGGAACGGAGAACGACGTTGCCGAGATTGTAGGCTTCCTATGCGAGGAACGATCGAGATGGGTGTCTGGGGACGTTGTGTGCGCCAATGGTGGAATGCTGTACATATAAGCTGTTACCTCGATCCATCCCATGAAGGTTATTAAAATCGGTTGGCTATAGAAGCAATATTATGATGCTTATGCAGGCATCCAAGATCCGCACTCAAAGTACGGTCCCCGAACATCCGAGCTTCCCTGTAGCATGATTCCTCCAGTTGCGTCAAGCAGTTCCGCATCTGATGAGCCTTGGGCATACCAAGGAAATGACATGCCCCCTTCTCCGAAGAAAATCGTGTCTGTCTGGTCTTGAACAGCCGAATTGTGGGAGGGAGATGGACCCTGAGCAGTAGGGTCCCATGCATTCAGCGAGACTCCTTGTAAACCATTGGCTGGCGCGGTCCCAGGTGCCCCAAAGAAGGACAGAAGCTCGCTCTGGTCTGTGGTTGTCAGTGACGGCTCCATTTGCGCCAATTCATTGAACATACCAAGCAACTTCCTAAGGATGTCCTGAGCCCGTAAGGCCATGCCATGCGTGGCCCCCAAGTTTGACAAGCAATCCACAGCCCGTTTCAAGTGACGTCTCCACGCCGGCGCGAGAGTATGTGCAGGATCATACATGTAGCAAGTCGCCTGCACAAAACTGGCTGTGATGAGCCAATACGTAGCATACCATGCCAAACCTCGTGGATGCTCAATCCGACCTTCGAGGTAGCCGCATATGGAATCCACGCACTCGTCAGCCGCTGCAAGACACGCGGATATCGGCCCAATCGTTGTCTCGAGCTTTTCTCTTGCCGTAATGGTCTTGAACAGGATCGGTCTATTGAGAATAATGCGGAGGTGGAAAGACCGCCATATGAGGATTCGCTTTGGGATTTCGAACCATGTTTCCAGTGTCAGTTGCTCATCGAAACAGGAGGGCAGATCTTGGCGCCATTTCGCGATATTCTGGCCTAGTGTAGTCGCTCTGTTGTGACTCGGTATTTGGTGGGTAAGCAGCTCGACCTGAACCATGTTGGCGATTTTTGCCAGCTTGATCTGATGGATCAGACAAGATGTCATGGTCGGGCCTTCTTTCGGATCCGGCAATCGTTCCATATCCACAGCAAGGTCCTGGTCGTCCAGATTGGATGGGGGTCGAACATTGACGCCAACGAGGGAGACGGGTGGTCTTCCGAGAGTGAGTTGTGCCCCAGACACGAAGATAAACAAAGTCCACCATGCCCTTCGACGGAGCTCCATGGTAAATGGGCTCGAGCTCGGCAAGCCAAATTCGCGATGGAGGCCTATCGCAAGTGCCATACTGAAACCAATCCCGATGAGAACGAACCCAGAATTGGGCTTGTTACGCTTTTGCAGGTAATTGGCCATTAGCACTAGACCTTGAACATAGCTGAGTGATCCTTTCTCCAGGATATCCATAGTCAGGCTTTGGCGGGCTTTCTTGTAGAAAGGGACGTCCGCATTTGACCCATCAGTTTCGCCAACAAAGGCTCCCATGGCGATAACAATGTTATACAACAGCGGCCATGAGCCATCTCGTGGTTTGGCCAACGCACCTAAGATGCCGTTAATGATGAATTCCTGCAAGTAGCACGGGGTGATCTACCTGAAACACGAGCACGGAAGGTCCCCTCATGAAGAATAGGATAAGCAGTATGATACATGGTAAAATAATCCGTTATGTAGCGCGAGACATCGGCGGATGATGCTTCTGCTGTGCTGCGCGTATCAGGCTCATCCAATGGAAGCGGTCTTCCGCAATCGGCGGGGATGTACAGGTGTAGTGTTTGGAGGAACTTCAAGGCTGCAACGCCAGACTGAGGGCCGGTATAGCCGACCTTTCCGGGTTCCGTAATAAGAGATCCCATGCCGTCAGTGGAGTTGTCAAAATCCTGCGATTCATCAAACTCATAGTCTTCTGCGTTGCTATATTCCGCGGGACTCGCGTCAGCTAGGTGTTCGTTTGCCGTCGGCCTGTATGACATCTCTGGAGGCCCTGGAAGGGCAACAGGAGTCTCATGGCGAGGTACATCTGCGCTTTCTGATTCTAGTTGCCGAATGGCATCTTGCATCTTGACGTCTGGCAAGTGAATAGCCCATGCCTTTTCAATAGATGCTATCAGGTTTTCCGCTCGCCTTAATTGCCTGTTATGGGCGCGTCAGTGTGAGTACATTTGAACTTAGCCAGAGCGATAAAACTGGCCTTTGAAGTGCTGTAAGCGTTTGTAGGGCCGAGTTATACTTGCATTCCTTTCTATCTCGAGTGCAGTTGGAGCATCTTGCACCTCCAGAGCACCGCACCTTGCGGCGCTTACACTCATTGCAAGCATGAGACTTGCGCCACATAGGCGAGACTCCGGGCGATTCCGCCTGCAAGTCATTCATTGCAGCGGCTTTAATTGGTACAGCATGTCAATGGCACAAGCTGCCCGAGGGTGGATTGAAGAGAGGTGACGTGTGACCCTTGGAGATTAGGGCGGTCACAAGCGGCATTACAATGGAGTGGAGAAGAAATTGTCTCAGTGAGCTTAGGCCATTCCAGGGCAGAGCACTTTACTATACCTAATTAGTAAGTCACACTCTGCCATCTCAATGGCCCAAGGGATCTACGATCTCTTGTGTTGGCAGAAACCTCTGCTGTTACGCGGCAGCTAGGCAGTGGCTTCAGGGCAGCAATCCTCGTGACCAATTGGACAAAAGGTTACCTATGACCTCGATTCATCGAGGTCATGACTGCCTAACGCGGTATACTGTATCACGACTACCCTGCAGGGCGCCCACGGCACAACTGTAACACCTGCTCTGTACCTTGATCCAATGCTATTACTATACATAAGAGGCTGGCTCTGATTACAGCATTAGTATAACTATATATTACTATCTGGTGCTCTAAGAACTTCCAACCTATGTAGAATTTAACATGAAGTAGAGAATTCCATATAAAAATAAATATAATTAACTTAAATGAGTAAAATAACTATAGTAAAAGTTTTCTTATTTTTTAGATTAAGAAATAGTAACTATTAAGACCTTTATAATAACTATAGCTATTTGCCTACCTAGATCTCATAACCAAAGAGCCTGCCGATGTAACAATTGCTGGTAGGAGTGTTATGATCCCTTGGCGATCCGATTGATAAGGAGCCTCCAGGTGGGGCCAGAGCACGTGTTGTGTGCATTTCCGGTTGTCACAATTCCGGTCGAATGTAACATGTAAGCCTCCCCCCTGCCGAGAACCCAGGATCCTGTCTTTCTAGATGTACCTAAAGTTCCGTGGCTTGATCCTTTGACAGTGGGGGCGAGTTGTAAGAATGAACCAACAGGCCTTTTGTTGCCATCGTACGGTTGATCGCATCGTCACTGCTAAGAATAACCTGACACCCTCATGTTAGATCAAGTCAAGTACATTCTCCTCGTACTTAGGAGTGTAGACTAGAAACACGTCACGCTTCTAGCTCTGTGCCAATTGGCGTCTTTAGAACTGTAGCTCACTTTCACCTCTTGAAACGCACTCAACTTCCGGTCAAGCCATGACATGCACTGTCACTCGAAGTGATCTGTTGATGCTAAGGTGTGGGTGAATTTGGAGTCGCGTGCGTGTTTTTTTCGTGATCTACCGGAGTACCCGCCCCTTAATTCTGCGGGCCGATTGAGAAGGATCAGTTATGACCAGGGCTCTGAACCAACAAAGACATCTCTGTTGGTCGTCGTTTAACTTAGGTTACCTCGTTCAGGCAAACCCTCGTGGTCCTTCCCCACCATCCCGTGCCGGTCGTTCCGTGTCATTCCAGCATCGGGAATGCAAACACTGCATATTACCGCTGCCGAAGACGGTCGCTGACCTAAAAAATCACATCATACGTCTCCTCGCCCGCGGGGGGCTCGTGGGGTTTGTGGGTCTTGGGAGCATGATATATATTGGCTTCTTCCATGGCTGCGTGAAACCCTATTGTTCCTTGCTTTATCTTATCAATCTGTGATTATCTAAAGAATCTTTTCCTAAGCCTCTACCATCCATCATGGGTGTCCTTGACAGGATTCGCGGACGAAGCGCCGCCCCTACAGACAATCCCAATGGTGCCAATGAAACCGTCCAGCCGCCGTCCGACATGAAGGAACAAGGCGGCGTCTTGGATTCCGGACCGTCGTTCAGCGACTTGAGCCTGGAGGAGAAGAACGAGAAGGAAGTTATCGAAAATGGTGCCAATGTTACGGCTGACGCCCCGATCGGTATCCAAAAGGCTGAAGCCGCGGCTCTGGTGTGGTCCAAACAGACCGTTTACATCACCTATGCTTGGTATGCGCTGTCCCGTCCACCACCGGTGCTCATTAGGTCTGCCTGGTGTCTGTGGTCTTTCTGGAATCTGTTATGGATTCATTTGGAAACATATGGACTAACAATCAGTTAGGATCTGGGTCTGCTTCTTCATGCTGGCCTTCCAACAGTCGATCCTCAACAACGTCACCTTCTACGCCTACTCTGACTTCCAGCAAGCCCCCCAGATTTCCACGGCCCAGATCCTGTCTTCCATCATTGGTGGTGTCCTCAAATTGCCCATTGCCAAAATTCTCAACCTTTGGGGCAGAGCCGAGGGCTTCCTCATCGCTGTCGGCGTCTACCTCCTTGGCATGATCATCATCGCCTCTTGCAAAGGCCCTGACGGCTACGCGGCAGGCTACGTGCTATACTGGGTTGGCTACTACGCCATTTACTTCATCATGGATGTGTTCGTTGCCGACACGTCGGGCCTGCGCAACCGTGCCTTTGCCTTTGCCTTTGTCAGCACACCCTTCATCTGCACGGCTTTCACAGGTCCTCTTGCGGCTCAGTCCTTCATCAAGAATTCATCTTGGCGCTGGGCAGTGGGTGCCTTTTGCATCATCATGACGGCAGTCTTCGTCCCCCTGGCTATCGTCTTTAAGTTTTTCCAGATGAAGGCAGAGAAGATGGGTCTGTTTGTTAGGACGCCCAGCGGTCGCACTACGACTCAATCCATCATCTTCTACATTCACGAATTCGACATCATCGGTGCATTCCTTCTCATTGCAGCCTTTGTGCTGTTCCTTCTGCCCTTTAGCCTTACCAGTAATGGTCGTGCTGGCTACTCCTCAGGCACTTTTATCGCCATGGTCGTCATCGGCTTCCTCCTGTTCTTCGTCTTTGGCGCCTGGGAGAAGTATGGTGCCCGAAAGCACTTTATTCGGTGGGAGCTGTTGAAGAACCGAACTGTACTCGGAGCCTGCCTACTTGCTGCTATTCTGTACTTCAGCTTTTACTCTTGGGACCAGTACTTCTACTACTTTGTCCAAGTTGTCTACAACCTCGACATTTCCGATACGGGATACATGACCCAGATCTACAACATCGGGTCTTGTTTCTGGGGTGTCGTGTTTGGAATCTACATCCGCCACACCAAGCACTTCAAGTATGCCTGTCTCTTCTTTGGCCTCCCTCTGATGTTTCTGGGAGCAGGCCTCATGATTCACTTCCGAGGTGGGGACGACGATATTGGCTACATCATCATGTGCCAGATCTTCATCGCCTTTGCCGGCGGTACTCTTGTCATCGGCGAGGATATGGCTGTCATGGCCTCGGCTGACCGCGACGGTGTGCCCATGATGCTGGCCCTGCTCAACTTGTTTGCCAGTCTCGGCGGAGCCATTGGCTTTGCGGTGGCTAATGCTATCTATACCAACACATTCCCGGACGCTCTTCAAGACCGACTCCCTCAGGAATCGGCTGCCGACTGGTCTGTAATCTACTTGGGCGGTTCAACAACTCAGATGTTGTACCCCCCCGGAAACGCCACGCGCGATGCCATCAACTATGCTTGGGGATACAGCCAGAAGTATAACTGTATTTCCGCTACCGCTATTCTCATCCTGGCCATCCCTTGCATCGCTGTGTGGAAGAACTACAACGTGGACAAGGCTCAGAACAAGGGAACTGTGATCTAGCATAGCACAGCAGTCTCGTGCCATAACGTTTACTTCACCTGCATTGTTACATTGGCGAGCATATCGCGCACGCGTCAAGAGTTGTGGAATTTGTAACAGCTTTTAATCTATAGTGTGTAATTTGCATACATACCATGGTGCACATGATGGTGTCAATCTTGACAGACATGGATACTGGCCAATTGGATCGTGTCGTTGAAAAGCCGTTATGGAACCGCTATGTGTACTGTACAGTGTATTTATGCAACGTAAGCTGACTCAATGCTCAAAGTTATGCTTGGTAGACAAGATCTGTGTGACAGTTTCATAAAAACTGTGCGTGCAGCTAAAGACAGTCGAAACTCGAAAAATTGAGACTCTTGGCAGAGTGGATACGGCCAAACCCTCGCGTAGCTAATGGCTCGCCTGGATATAAGAAGGGCATAAAAGCTGCCTCTATTCATATGATCCATATGGTTGGTTTATCTTGGGGCATGCCAAGAGTCGCAATTTTTCGAGTTTCTGCGGTGCCGTAAAAACTCGGAGAATTCGCCCTCTTGGTGAAGTGGACCTTCCAAGTGCGAATCGGCTAATGGCTGCTCTGGATGTGGGAGGGAGATGACACGCCCCAGCTTGAGCTATGATTCGACCAAGTCTGCATCTCGCGTGTAGAGCGGAGCAAAGATCCTCTTTGCCAAGCCCCTGAATTTCTCGAGTTTTGGTACCCGGGCTTGCCGAGGTCTGGGCAATCGCTACCATCACCATCTCCTCTTGGCTGATGCAGGGTAGTTCGGTAGACACGGAGACCGGCAAAACGGAGTTGAGAAGACCAAGCAGGGAATTGCCGGATCCATCTCCAAAGAGTACGTTTTCTTGGGGAACAAGAGCTATATCGTCTCGGAACTCGGTTCCAAGCTGGCGTGTGATGTCGGTCCCGTCCATCAGCACGGCTCCACGGTCAGGACGGTAGAACCGCTCTAGCATTGCAAAGATTGTAGACTTCCCTGATCCACTGGAGCCAGCCAAGGCACAGAATTGACCAGCCTGAATGTTCAAATTGACCCCACAGAGTACCGGCTGCCCCGGTCGTGACGGGTACTCGAAGTGGACGTCTTGCAACTGGGTCTTCATGCCCTGGCCGGATGAAATTGGCACGCTGGGAGCCGTGCCCTCCGGCCTGGAATCTGCTGCCTCCATGTCGTGAGGTTTCTCAGAGAGGAGCAGCTTGTAGTCACGGCGGTTTTTGCCTGAGCTCTGAGGATTCAGCTCGTCGTCCGCTGAACTTGTAGTGAGCAGCTCCGTAATGCTGGACGCGGTAAGTCCTGCCTTGGAAATGTCGGGTGCAAGCGCGAGTATTTGACTGCATGACTAGGTACTGAACATAAGAGCAGGCAGAATGATGAAGAACTGGGTTTGGGAATAGAGACCGGCCACCACTTGTCGGGTACCCCACCAATAAGCCAGAGCATATACGAGGTTGCTGATGCTGAAGGCTAGGGCTAAGAAAATGTTGCCGAATGCAATTGAACGCAGGGTCTCCTGATAGGGTTCTCGCAATGCGAGCTCATGCCGTGCGTTTGACTGGCTCTCCAAGGAGAAAGCGGACACTATCCGAATGTTGTCAACGGCTTCGACAGTGATGGAAGTTTCCTGAGAAAATGCCTTTTGATGTCGCTCGGCGAACTTGGCTTGCGTGCGAAGTTTCATCAGGCCCGAAGCAAGGAGGACCGGGATGCATGGGGCGAGCACGATAGCGATCTTCCATGCGAGGACGAAAGAAACGACGAGTCCAGCAACCAAGTTGAAGGCGGCGGCAAGGAGAAGACCGATCGTAGAGCCAGAAATATTGCTCAGTGCACTGGCATCGCTGATGATATAACTAATCAGTGTTCCGGGAGTGCGGCCATCCGTGTTGTGCCTTGTTATGGTCTGGCTCAAGAGAGATCGAGGAGAGAGGATTCGAATTCGGGTCAAGATCTTCTCGGCAGCCCAGCCAAATGCACATCCACTGGCAACGTTTGCTGAGAACTCGACTAAAGCTATAATGAAGAACAAAAGTCTATATAAGTGTCCTCTGTGACGGATGTTGTCGGCCCCCGTGCAAAGGCTTAAGCTGCTGATGGTGTGACCGAAGATGACAGCTTCTGCTATGCAACTGCCACCAATCACGACAGATGCAGAAAGGCCGAGAACGAGATAACCCAGATTGGGGCGAACCAAATTGAATGTGAACTTCAGGGTGAACCACCTGGGGGGCTTGGGTTTGTCACCCTCCTCTACCGTCTCGTCTGAGCCGGTCTGCGTCTTCGTTTCCTCTCCAGGGGTCTTCGAAAGGCTAACATCTGCCGCAATTTCTTTGGCACCCGGACCATCCAATTCGCCGTGGATAAAAAAGCTGCTATCGCGGCTCACATATGCCTCAGGGATAGCTGGCATATCCACAGTCTCCAGGTTTTGGAACTCGACCATCTTAGCATAAGCGCCGCCTTTCGCAACCAGTTCAGCGTGAGGACCCTCTTCAACTACTTGGCCTTTGTCAACCACCACTGTCTTGTGGGCATCTTTGGCGGTTGCCAATCGGTGAGCGATTGATACCATGGTGACGCGGTTTTGAAGTTTCGCCAGAGCATCTTGAATCCGACTCTCACTGTTTGAGTCTAATGCTGCTGTCGCTTCATCGAGAATAAGAAGCGAGGGTTCACGGACCAGGGCGCGTGCAAGGGCAACTCGCTGCTTCTGTCCACCACTCAGTTGACTACCGGCAGAGCCTATATTGGTGGCTAGGCCGTGTGGGAGTGTTTCAATGAAGGCCAAGGCATTTGAACTCGCTGCGGCTTGTCGAACAAGTTCAACAATTCTAGCTACTCTGGGGTCATGCCCTTCAATGGCTTCTTGTTCCGCTGTGCCATTGCGTATGCTTGCTGCCAGATCAGCCAGCGTGGAATCCAGGACAAGGAGAGCCAAATCCCTGTGACCCTCGTTGGAGGAATTCGCCAAACCGTCGGCAATGTTTTCTAGAATGGAGCGGTCAAACAGTGTTGGTTCTTGTTGTACATATCTGATACTGCCTCGAAGGTAGTTCACGTTCAAATTTCGAAAGGTTTAATCACCGATAAGCAGTTCACCCGCTGAAGGATCATAGAAACGCTCTAGAAGCGACACCACAGTAGACTTGCCACCGCCAGATGGTCCCACAATTGCTGTATGCTTCCGAGGGGGGATCGTCAGGTTGATTCCGTTCAAGACGGGTACATCAGGACGAGAGGGATAGGTGAAGTGCACGTCATGAAAGACAATGTCCTCCTCACCGAAGGGTGCAGATTTGGCGCCTGCCTCTGACGTGCCATTAATACGAGATTCCCTGTGTATGACCGATTGCAGTCGATCGGACGCGCCGGCGGCAGCGGCGAAGGTGTGAACGAATGGTGCAACTTGGCTGAGAATGAAAGACGCGTCGATCAGGACAAAAATGACAGTGTAAACTGCACCCACAGACACGTCGCCTCCATCTGATTCCACCGAGTCGGCGATTAAACGAGAACCAGCCCAAAAGGCTAAAGCATTGGAGCTGTAAGCGATGAAGTACAAAAGACCCAGCTGAACGGCATGAGTGCCGGCCTTTTTGAGAGCGCCCATTCGTGACCCGAGAAGGTGATCAGAGAATAGCTTCACAAGACGATCGTTAGAGCTAAAGGCACACACGAGAGGCAGATGTGGTAGACTAGAGGAAGCAATCGTAGTGGCCGCGTCGACGTGTTCGTTGATACGATTAGAGTATTTCAAGTCCCAATCGCACTGGCTTCAAGCCCTCTCTGATTGTAGACCAACGATCTTTGAGAAACCCGCAATCGACTCTGCCCAGCTTTCCTACTCCACGACGCTGTCATCATCCCTTCCAGAGCTCGAAGGCTGTGCAGCCCGCCTACAATCTACAGCATCCTCCATGATGCAGGCAGTCTTTGATTTGGCATTGGCTGATGTAGTGGGCACATCTGATGTGACCTACGGCTTGGTACTTTCTGGAAGGGTACTTCCCATAGCAGGAGCTGATTCGGTGCATCTGCCATGTATTGTCACTATTCCTGGAAGACTCAACACAGAACACCTCTCTACAGTCGAAGACGTCATCCACCACATACACAAAGCTACTTCTGAGTCGCTTGAGTATCAACATACGTCCCTGAGATACATCCAGCGCTGGGTCAAATCGGAAGGCCCCATCTTCGAGTGTCTTTTCTCATTCATCAAGTCTGCCGAAGCTCAGGGTCACGACTTGTGGGAGGAAGCACAGAGCAGCATGCCCTCAGAGTACCCTCTCGCCGTCGAGGTAGAGGCCGACGCAAAGAACGGTTGTGTTCGCATCACTTGCGGTTTTACGTCAGCCTTTGGCCATCCAGATTTTGCTCGAGACTTTGTGGCAAAGATGAACCTGATGGTGTCCACGATAGTATCAAATGAATCCATCTCGCTTGATTCTTTCAACCTTTCCCGGTCAGCCTCGGCCGCCACAAGGGGCCCTTCCAAGGACTGGGATGATCATCCATGGTCAAGCCTGGAGCTTGAAATTGGCGACATGATAAAGCGTTTCTGTGGCTGGGAAAGTTTGCAGATATGCAGGAACTCGTCGTTTTTGAGTCTTGGACTGGATTCCATGACTGCCATCCGATTTTCCAGCCAGCTTCGAGATGCGGGAATCGCTGTTTCATCGGCCGAGGTGATGTGTTTCCCTTGCGTGGGAGCATTAGCTCACAGGGTCGTCGAGGCAGCCGTGGCCGACGTCCCGAGCCCTCCGCTATCATATTGCGACGACGATCCTCAGCTCGACGAGTTTGCATCTCGAGTGGCACGACTCAGCTCAAACGATATAACCAAGGCGGTTTCCAAATGCAGTCCGCTGCAGACTACAATGATCACCCAAGTCATGGAATCCAATGGGGTTGTCTATGTTCATCCACACATTGTGAGACTCGCGGAGCCGACAAGTGTCGATCGCTTGAAGGAAGCTTATCACGTCACCATCGAGACCAATGATATCTTGCGCACATCTTTCCATACCGTCCCTGAGATGAATTTTTCCTGGATTGGAGTCGTTCACAGCGATGTTCCACTTGCGTGGCAAGAAACCGCTGTTCCATCGGGGAGTGACATTGCCGAAGTGGTTGTGCGGTATATGCAATTGGGTACTGAGTCGGCATTTTCCACACCACCAATCTAAGCTGTGATTATCAACGAGCCTGAAGGAAGGTTTTTGGCTATCATTATGCATCATGCACTGTATGATGATGCCTCGCTACCGTTCATCTTCAACGACCTGGCTTCCGCCTACCATGGGGTATCACTACCAGATCGTCCACCGTTTACAAATGCAGTCCATCATCTATCCCAGGATCAAAGCAAGGCTTGCCAATTTTGGACCAAACTTTTTGACGGCTACCAAGTCACACCGTTGCCGCAATCTCCCCAGCACAAACAATCGTCAGGAATGTTCTACTCTGACACAGACATTGAGCTTGGCATGATGCATATATCCGAGAGCTGCAAGGAGATGGAGGTCACGGTGCAAAGTTTTGCCATTCTCGCCTATGCCAAGGTTCTCGACAAGTTGACAAGAAGACAAGACGTAGCCTTCGGTCAAGTTCTCGCCGGGCGCTCATCTTTGGGATCCGAGGCTGAATGTGTGGTTGGGCGAGGTTCAGAAGTCGCTTCGGCAGAGCGGTGTGCTGAGCGCTGCCACATTAGTCGACACATTATTTGTGCTCCAACATAATGTGCAGACACTGGAAGATGATTCGGCTAACAATGATATCTGGATGCCCTACGTCACAGATGACTACGTCCCTGAGTCCGAGTACAAGCTGAACCTCGAGGTTGAGCAAACGGACAAAGCGATCAAAGTTTGCGCTCTATGCAAAGGAGAAATTCTGACTCGGGCGGATCTCAACCGGGTGCAGATGCGTCAGGCGCCGCGACGACGCTTTGAATGGGGGAGCCAAGGGTGAGAGGTAAGCTTTGGAGCTCGTCTGGAAACATGGTCACACACCGTGAAGGATGCTCAACGATGTCGGAGAATGCCTGACTGAAGTCCTTGACAGCCACCTCATGAGCCTGTTGTCCGAGACATACTGTCAGAAGTTTCCAAAGTCCCGGTAGAAACCATTCAATCAGACACTAGCATATTCAGCATTGGGTTAGACTCCCTCTCCGCCATTCGAGTCGCGTCTATGTGCCGCGCCGCAGGTCTCAAAGCAGGTGTTGGTGCTGTTCTCCAGGGCAGTACCCTTCGTGGTATTTGCCTACGGGTCCAGGCCATGCCTCAAGAGGGAATCAACAAGAGCTCCCTGATTATGAGCTACAGCGATATCAGGCAGGATGTCATTGCTCAATTGGGGTTGAGGCCGAATGCGATTGACAAGATTCTCCCCTATCTCAGCGGTCAGATGTATCATCTTGCTTCCTGGTTACAAACAGGGCGAGCGCTCTTTGAACCCGCCTGGCCATTCTCATGCTCGGAGCGTATTGACGTAGAGACCATGAAAGATGTCTGGTTCTCACTGCGTCAGAACAATTCGATTCTGAGGACTTGTTTCTTTGCCATCGCGCGTTCAGATGCCGTTCAAGTTGTCTTGAATGGATGTGATCGCGATGATGGCACATTTCAGGTCATCACTTCCGCGGAAAGCCTTGAGAATCTTGCTCTGCTTCAGGCAAGGCAGATTGCGTTGCATCCTTCATCTCTGAAGACCCCACCTCTCCGACTTGGTCTTCTCGAGGCCACCGACAGAGATGGAATCCTTATTGTCATGAATCATGCCATCTACGATGCGTGGACAATGCCTCAATTTGTTGATGAGCTCGCTGGTTATTACAGTCAAGAAGCACCCACACCCAGGCCTGATTTCGCTTCGTTTGTCGAGTTCACTTTGCAGTCATTGAACGAGGTGGATGAGCCAGCTTACTGGCGCTCAGCAATTGGAAACAGCGTTCCCACCCTCATTCATTCCGCTCGTGGTGGCGAAGATGATCAGACATCTCAAAAGAACAAGCAGCTATTCGTCGGGGTGCGAGATGCTGTCAAAAACCTTGGACATTTGGACAGAGCCTGCCGCTCCTCGAATGTCTCTCTTCAAACCATTGTCATTCTCGCAGTGTCTCGAGTTCTTGCTCAGTTGACTGGGGTATCAAACCCAACCTTGGGCCTATACCAAACAGGTCGATCGGCTGCTTTCACTGGTATTGACCGCCTGACTGGCCCTTGTCTCAATGTCACCCCTTTCACGGTTCAAGATGCATTACCAGAGAACGAGTTTGAGGCTTTTCAAGTTGGCGAAAAAGCCCGTTCCATTCAAGCTGCACTGGCAGAACGTGTACCGTATGAACAAAGTTCATTGCGCGACATTCTCAGCCGTTGGAGAACCACTAGAGATACTTCTTTGAATCTCTTCAATGTGTGGTTGAATTTACTTTGGATGCAAACCCAGCACCAGTCCATTGAGCATGCTCCAGAGTCGGCTCAACCAAAGAGCTTGTTGGCACATCTGCCAATAGGGGTACCTACGGATTTCATGCCATCAAAGCCCTTTCCAGATGAAGATGGATCTGCTACATCGATTTCCAAGCTCGACATATCCTATCTGCCACAAAAAAACATCGACATCGACATTGCACCCAATGGCTCAACAGATTCTATTGGATTTGGTATCCGTGTCCAAGGAGGACTCATGAATGAAGAAGAGATTCACCTTTGTGGGACTTATTGGGCTGGAGATTGAAGGGCTTGTTCATAGATTGTAATAAGGCAGTACTCCCTTTATGAGGGTTGTCGAGCTTCCTCGCTGAGTAAATCTATCAGTTCTGCGACAGCTTTAAATACAACCCTTTGGTGAAAAGGTCAAACTTGCATTCTTAATTGCCAAAAACAGTGAACTCATGCACACCCACGGCCCACGACGCGCTGTTTCCATTGATAGCGTTGATAACCGAGTTCACATTGAGTCGAACATATCGGAAGCCTTCCGTCGAAGTCGGCAATACGGTTGAGAAACCGGGATCTTTGTTATCCCTCTTATCTGCAATCGTCGTGAACGTCTGGTTGTCTTTGCTTGCAGATATCGTATAGTTGTAAAAGGTCTCGGAGCCCTGGCGCAACTTGGTCGTCAAGTCAATCCTCGTGATTTTATGCGAGTCTCTGAGGTCAACCTGGTACCAAAAGGGAACCTTGGACGGTATCCAAACTTTGTTCGGATCATTCTGGGTCCCATCATTGGCAAGACTAATGTTGGCGCTCCCCGCGTTTGACAATGCCGGTTTGTTGTCTGATAAAATCTTCCCATTCTGTATACCGTAGACCGCCTGGTCGGGTTTCGTGGATTGAGCGTATTTGACCTGGGGGTAGAAATGATATGTAGCGTATTGTCCAGAAGCATCCAAAGCAAGTGGTAAGTTGAGTTGTCTTGTCGGACCTCCTGGAATCGGCCAGTTCGATGACCATCTATCCGAATACATGGTGAACTGTCCATTGGGAAATTTTGCAACCCCCCCTGATTGAGAAGCAAAGGTTGCAGTGTTGGCGACATTGACACCATTGGACCAAGGCCCCGCCATGTTTTCGGCCATGATGTACTGTGGCTGCGATGGCACCCAGCCAGATGCCCTTGATGTGAAGATGTAGTACCACCCGTTTGATTTGATTACCGCGGGTGCCTCTCTGTATTGGCCTTTACTGACCGTGGTAAGCTCACTAGCGACGGCAGTCCAGTTCGAAGTGAGGTTGAAAATGACCATATCGGCATTGACATTTGTTGCCGAAATCAAGTACGCCGCATCACCATCAGAGAACAAGGTCATGTCTCTGGAATCATGGCCGAGAGGTCTGTAAGCTCCATTGAAAGTGAGTGAAGGGGCGCCTGGATCGGTGTATAGATTGCAGACGTATCCGAGGCCGTAATCTTTCGCTCGCTCGAAATGTCCCCACATGACATATTGTCCCGTGCTGGGGTGTTGCGTCCACTGGATCCTCTCCAGCTTGCAACTGTAATTTGCCGAGGCACACATCTCAATGTTGGTCAAGACGGTTCGGTTACCGGTCCAAGGACCTCTAAAACAGGTATAACGAGTCAATAACCAATGGAACAGTACGCCACTCTGATGGCTGGTGGGCAACTTTACTTACCCATTCTCTGAGACCTGTTCGGTAAAGTGACTGAAACTTCTGTTGGAGAACGTTTGATACTGGTACCGATACTCCTTAACATTGCCTTTCACAGTCGAGGCATCCGAGGAAGTCTCGGCTACCGAGGCCGTGTTCTCATCCGGAACATTGTCGAAGCTACTGTACGTGCCCGAGGGCGTGAACGGAGACAGAGTAGCAAGGCTGGACTGGTCGACAGTGGAGGAACCATCAATTGCAACAACGCGGTAACGGTATGACTGACCGACTTTCAGATCGTAGTCATCGTGCGTGTTTCCAGGTACGGTCGCAATTACCGAGAATGAGCCACCATTACTGCTACGCTCCACTCGATAAGACGAAGCCTTAGCAACAGTAGCCCATTCAAGCTTGGCATTGGTAACAGCGCTGTCACCTTGGAGTTGAAACAGCTGAGCAGCGAATCCCAGCTTTGCAAGTGCTGGTCTGGATAGTGAGAGAAAGGGCAGCAAACTTATGAAGCGCATCTTGGAAGAAATATGAAGGCGTGGACAGAAATGGAGAGAAAGTTGCTGAATATCAATCTGTGTGGATTTGCTAGGAGCTTTATAAGCCGAAATATACCTTCCAACGAAGCAAGTTACTCTACAAAGTCCACCAATCAGTCTATTAGAGTACTGCGTTTTTGCCATTGTCCCGCATCTCCTTTGGATCCCCGAGGTACTTCTGAAGTTCGTATAGCTGAGACATCACACGACACTGTTGCCCGAATATGCCCCGACTACCCGGTGTCATTCGAGGGGTCTCCACTGCGACCCCAGATATGCAGGGGTACCCCACACCACGAGAGCCGGTCCGGGGAATCCACCGCTGCCCGTTGGCCGGGGTCCCGCTGTCCGCTGCCCGATGTCCGGGGTTCCGCTACTCGGGGGTCCGCTGCCCGCTGCCCGTTGTTCATTAACCTAACCACAGACGCTACCGCGGCCAACGAGGCCCCGCCGTCAAAGACCCTCGCGCTGTTGCAAGCCCTCACAAGCTGCTCTTGAAGGTCGCTGCAAGAGGTGAGCCTTAGGTATTAAAATCAGATTTGCTGGCCTTTGACAACAGGGTGCCTTGGGCATCTTCCCTGGTATTGAAACATGAATAGCTAAAAAAAAGAAATATAACATTGTCAATTAACTAACTGGTAAACTATAGCAAAAGTTTTTCCTTTAATCCTAGGCACTCCCACCAAATCACCGTCGAAGCATACTCTCATTAGTCTTCAAGTTTTCGTTAATAACTTGCGCTGTTCCGGCATGCCCATACTTCTTGGCCAGCTGGCTTGCCGTTCGTCCATCTCCGGTCTTCGCCCTTAGATTGGCCCCTAAACCGACAAGAAGCCGGGCCACTTCTTCATGCCCTAACCCCGCCGTTAGGTGTAGCGCTGTGCATCTTGTCTTGATCTTCTTGCTGCTCCGGCCAAGAACCATGGTTCCTCTGGCCTGGGCGTGCGAGTCGACGTCTGCTCATGTCACCAAAAGCAGTTGCGTCATCTTGCCCTGCCCAGTACAGGCTGCCAAGTGCAGCACCATCAGCCTGCCCTCTAGATCTATCTTGATGCTGTCCTTTGTCACCGCTTCAATGTAAATGTCGCAGTCGGTATCTACCTCAGCGCCGTGATCGAGAGGTGACCTCGCCACCACATCGCCATCTGTCAAGGCGGCAAAGTGCATCGCCGTTGGATGAACTTCAATATTAAGGTCAATCTCATCATTCCTCCCGAGAGACCGCTGCACCCGCCCGAGATTAAGCCCGAGTAGACTTGCAACAAAAGGCGCAACCAGACCAGCCTGTACTTTTCTGCTGGCGTTGACTGTGCCTGTAGCATGAACGTCGGCATGCTTTCCAAGAAGCAGTTGTACTACCTTGTCATGTTGCCCCATTACCGCCAAATACAGCGCCGACAGCTCGGCATACAACGCATCTCCCCCGTAGATATGGCACTTCTCTTCGACATTAACGCCCCTGTCAATGAGTAAACGAAATATCTTCATGCCTCCTAATATTAGTATAATAGGTATAAAACTAGCATTGGAAATAGTAATAGACGTAAATAATAGAGTAAGAAGTAGGACAAGTGTCTTTAAATCTATAGCAAAGATGCCCAGCCCTAGAGCCAATTTAACAAGATCCTTCACCCATGGAGGCGCGGGCACTTTCAAGGCTGGGCAACCTTGGTGAACTCGTCGTCTTGGAGCAATTTCTCCATTGCCCCAAGTCTCAATCCTATGCTAACCTCCAACCCGCCGTCTTTCAGCCTAGGAAGAACAATGATAGTACCATCCGCACCTTCGCCCGGCATCCGGAGGGAATCTACCATGCCCAAGGTGCCCCAATCGCTCTCATAAACCTTGAGGTCAGCCCACGACGTTGTAACAATATCTGGACCCAAGAAAGCATTGTATGCTAACTTGAAATCCGTAGGATCTGGCCGAGAATTAAGAAGTCCAATAGTTAGTGGCACCCGACAGGGGCTATTGAACGCAATCAACGACTTTCGGATTGCGGCTGCTGCTTCGGAGAGCGCAGTGTCCGATGTAAGGGTTGAGACGGCAAGCCGTTTCCTCATAGAGGCCATCGAAGCGTTTCCAAGGAATGTTGACGGCAGTGGCGGGCTCATTCGGTTGCGAATATTGACTGCATAAGCCAGGGCCGAGGTTTCCTCGCCGCTGGCGGGATCAGCAAAAAAGCCAGAGCGCGTTCGGGCCAAAGTCATGTGTTGCCAAATAAAGGCGCACAGAGCATCATTGGTAGAGAAAGCTGCAGCGGCGGCTTTGAGGTTTGCAAGCGATTCCGGTGAAAAGTGGAAAATGCGCGCCGCAAGTGGAGGCATCTCAAAGGCCATTGCAGGCATTTGCTGCGTGCCGCCGTTTGCAGGGGGTGAGAGCATGTACTCGGGGAAGTCAACAAAGTTAGCCCCCTGCATCCCTTCCATAAGGGGGCTGCGATCGTTTGACTGGGCGTCGTATGTGGTGAAGGACTTGGAGCTGCCGCTGGCTGCAGCAGTGTTTTGAGACCAGGTGTTTACAATGACGTCCAATGCCGAGGCGTCGCAAACCGAGTGATGGATTCCGACTGTCAGCAAAAGGCCACCTTCGATGAAATTTGCTTGAGCTGCCATGACCGGCTGCTCAGGTCCTTCTGGCAGGACGCCCATTGGGCCGAGCTGCGCAGTCAAGAGTCTGGAAAGTGGGAAATGTTCCTTCTTCAACTCCGTATAAGGAGGCAATATTCCGTTGAGATCTTGGCGTCTGCGAAAGATTCGTTGTTTAGCAGGATTCAGCCATTCGGAAGAACACACTTACGGAAATTTAACACCGCTTGATGAATCCACAATCTGGATTCTGTTGTGCTTCGGGTCTTGTCCTTCCTCTGGTCCCTTTGTACCGGACCCAGCAAGGTCAGCAACTGTGGACAGGAGCAATGACATATGGCATGACAGGAAACTTGTTTCCTAGTCCGCGGACGGGTTGAGGGCTGTACTGACAACTTTACCAGCGATCCATGGAATAGATCTAATCGTGTGTGCTAACCCCTCCTTCAAGTTCTCGTATCTGCAGTATGTTTGTGTGAGCCTTTACAATATCCATAAGAGGGGAAGCATCCGGATTATCCATACACTTGAGCTTTGTTGGTACCAGGTGGTAACGGAAAGCACAGGATCCAACGCGCGCCATAGAGCCTTAGCATGTTCATATCCAAGGGCGTGAGCTTCTGCTGAGACAGGGTTTGCGGAAGGCCATATTGTTTAGGTGTCACAAAATGATCACCTTGTGGGCTCAGAGCATTATCGGAATGAGACATGGTTCACTGGAAAAGCTGCAGAGCAGAAAGAAGGACCAGGTTGCAGAAGCAAATACCAGCAGCGAACACGGGGGCATGAGAGTCTTTAAATATGCAAGCATTTCTAATCCGAAGATGGATTCGACTGCGCGATAGAAGCGCTCCTGGATCAAGACACCCAAGGGGCGGAGCTACTTGACCGCAACGACGCTTCGCATCGAGATATAACTGGCGCATGAGTGGCTTATCTCACGATGCCCCGTTGTCCTTGACATGTTGACTGGCTGGCTCAATGCATGCCATATTAGGCTAGCGTATATCTCATCCATTACCCCATTGTCCAAGGGGTCCAAGCTCTCGCCACGGTCTTTGGCCAATCAAAAGGCAACCAAAGCGGACTTCGTCGGTCAAATCCACGCTTGGAAACCTCAGTGACATGGTGCTGTACTGGTCATCCGGACTCTGATTAATGTCACGCAAGGTAGCTAGGAATTTCTTCCAGGAAAACTTGGGGTCAGGTTTGATATATACAAAGTAACATGGTTGTCATGGGCGGCAGGGCGCGCTAGTTTTGGCCCTGAATGGGAGCTGCAATCGGGGTCGGTTTGCTGACCTGAGGCCGGAGGTGCCCCTGCAGGGGTCCTTCAACAGCTGCAACTCGGAAGTTAGTATCATCTTAAAATCCGAAACTAAAGTAGCTAGCTTCAGCACGTCGGTGGAATGGACCAATAGCGACGCTCCTTTACCAGGTCTGTCCTTCACGGGCGCGGCCCCGGTCAACGTGCCACCGAGCTCGCCTGATCATGAGTTGAAGGGGGTCGAAACCCTGAAAACACACCAAAATCCGGCCACACACTTCTGCTTGTTTCCTTGCCGTTATCGAATCGTTTCTGGCGTCAACATCGGCCTCGGCCTTACTCTTCTCCTCACAATTATCCATGGTGTACTGCGGGAAGCCAAGTCGGGGGTGCGAGAACTGCAGGTAAGCTTCCGGCCATTTAAATAGATTTCCGCAAGAGTGGATTCTTATACAGGGTTGTTAGGAAACTGCATAAAAAGGTATGCCAGAAACTCCACTCCAGCTTCAGTTGAACATGCCTGATAGATAAAAAGTGCGACGAAAAGCGCCCTGCATGTTCACGTTGCTTGAAAGCGAAGAAGATATGTCTTGGGTACCGAGACCTGTCGGGTCTCATGATCCGTGACGAGACTACCATAACGCAGAACAGATTCCGTCAATGGCATATGCGCACCCGCGGCTCAGATTCAAGATTAGCAAGGAATGCATCACTATTCTCTACTCTCGTTGCCGGGGTTTCAACATCGATGTTCGGTGATTGCGTAACTCCGGCTTATCGATTATCACCGTCAGCCGAAGATGCGGTATTATGCCACTTCTATCAAACTATAATCGAAACTCTGTCAGACGAAGATCCTGCACACTACCTTCATACACAGCTGCCAAATCTCTACGTCAGGAGTGACCCTGGTTCCGCCTTGCGCTTGGCGACAGAGGCGATATCATATGCTTCCTCTCCGAGGTTAGTGCAAGATGCAATTCTGCTATCCAGGAAACGATACGTCCAAGCCATCAAAGCAATTGAACAGGCTATTCAAGATCCAGTAGAAGTGGGAAACGATCAGACATTGTATGCCGTTCTTCTGCTTTGTGGTTATGAGGTCAGTTTTTGAGTCTACTAGAAACATATTGCCTTCGATTATGCTGAACTGATAACCGCTCAAGACTATCCTCCAGGATCTAAATACACCACCAGCGTGGGGAGCCCATGTTGACGGAGCTGCAGCTCTTGTCAAGTTTCGTAGCAGCAACGAAGTGCACTCGTCCCTATCACGCAGCATGTTTTGCTTCGTTCGGAAAAGCGTCGTAAGAGCACTTTCTCTATCCTGTACGGACAATGCTAAGGATGATTCCGACAGGTTCTAGGCCATATGCAAATATGTCGGCCTATTGACAAAATCTTCACCGTGCCAGATGAGACGACATCTTTGTATGAGAGACCAGAAGATCATCTCATTGCAACAGCGGCCAAAATACCCAACCTCCAATACCGGAGCAATTATCTGCTTACAGAACCGCAAGATGCTAGCAAAAGCGACATTGAGAATTTGTTTTACAGTGCTAGGGTCCTAGATCGCGAGCTATCAGATTGGGCAAGCAATATCTCCACCACCTGGTCCTATTCCGCTGCCATGAACATCAGGGGTCCAGCAAGCTCAAAATTCACTTCACGTCAGATTCATAGATACCCAAACTTCTACACCGCTCGGGTTTGGAATTTTTATCGTGTATCACGGCTCATTGTCCAGTCAGTACTCCTCCGTGCAATCTCTTGGCTGCCTATCTCAATGGAAACTCGCCCGAACGAGTTTAACAAGAGCAAAATTGAGGAAAGCAGTATAGAGTTGGTCAACGACATTTGCGCAAGTGTTCCTTTTCTTCTAGGGCACAACTTATCGAATATGAAACTTCCTGCCACGAGTGGAGGGAGGAAACAGGAGAGGACGAGTTGCCCCGAAGTCGAACAAAACGGCGAGATACGCACTGGGAGATTTTCACTTATCTGGCCCCTCTATGTTGCGTGCAGCGCTCCATCAGTACCAGAAGCTCAACGAGAGTGGATGCACATGCAACTGCTGTTGCTGGCTGAGCATGATGAATCGCAAGCACACTTTATGTGTTTCACAAAAAGCCAGACACTTTTGGGCGGGGCCGAGAACTTTCGATTTGCTTGTATATAATAACTCTATAGTCCTTCTACACCTACGGCTCTAAAGAACGAATCCAGATACAGTTAAGGCTGTTTGGCTACACAGACTTTAAATCAAATTTTAAAGGTATAACTATAGTAAACTAACTTCTATTATTAAATAAACAAGCTTTAAAGCACTGCCTTATCTCCACACGGGAACTTGACGAGATAGTCCGTATTGGACTCGGTCCCGTCTACAATAACATCGCCATTGGGCGCTTTGATAGACAGAATGAAGGAAAATTCGCCCTGTCCGTTTGCCCAGAGGATTCGGAGATTGTTGTAAGACCCAGCCTCTAGGTGAATTCGCACAACCTGTGGTTCCCTCGTCTCGTAGTGATAACGCTGCTCGACATCGGCGTTTTCTCTGGTCCAGTCGGAAATAGCCTTGTCGCCCACCCACACGAGAGTGATTTCGTCCGAAACGGGCACCGAGATCTCATAGTCGCCGGAATATGGTGCATAGAGCAGTGCCACGTGGCTGATGGCCTTGTACTGCAAGAACATCACCTCAGAGTCATCGTACACCTTGATAGGAGGATAGTAAGGATTCTGGCCTTGGGCAATCCCCACGCGGTCTGTTATGCCCTCAAATAGAGGTGTAGCTCCGTGAAAGTGAGTTACATCAAAGTCGGCGTAGTCAAGAATATCACTGTTGTAATAAGGGTTGTCGTACACTGCATACTCTAGTCCCGCGTTACCGCAAGACTGGTCAGGCTTGGAGACTATGCACTGTCTCGAATCTGTGTCGCAAACCTCATCCTGGTTGCAATCTGCGTCGGAAATGCATCCAACCTCAGATGTAGCAATGTTTGCAGCCGAAGATGTTGTCGTCGAGACTTCAGGATTGGTTGTTGTTTGAAGGTCAGTGATTGATGAACTTTCAAGAGATGTGGTCGTCAGCGCTGTGGTTTGCGCATCAGTTTGGGAATCGGGTCCAAGGTCGGCCGTCGTCGATTGAGACATGGGGATCTCGGTCGTAGATGTTGTCTCAGATGGCTTTGAGGAACTCAAGATTGTGGTCACTTGCGAGGTTGAGTACCACAACGGCTCTGAAGCGACTGAAGACTCGATCTTTTTCGAGGGAGACGAAGTCTTTGAGATATCTGAAGACATGACTGTCTCGGGCACACGAGCAGCCGGCGTTGTTTCATGCATAGATGCCGTTGATGTAGAGGATATCTTCGATTCAGGGGTCATTGGGATTGAGGTGGACGATTCCGTTGGCAAGGACTCATCCGTTGATAGGCTTGTAGCCGGCGGCTCTGGGATGCTTGATTGTGTGGTTTCTGACGCGAGGGCCGACGATTCTGCCGTAGCCGACTCTAACGTGGTCGAATCCAAGTTGGTTATAGCTGTAGTTGAAGACTCCGCAGTTGTCGGCCAGAGGACACTTGACTCTAAGATGGTAGATGTAGAGGTTGATGGCTCTATAGTTGACGATTCCGGGGTCAATGAGGATGCGGTTGGTAGTTTTGCTGGCGTTGGCGCCGCTGTCTCTGATAGCATTGATGATTCTGCTGATGATGATTCTGAGGTTTCCGGTCCTGAGATGATCGGCCGAGAGGCTGTTGATTCAGAGACTGATGACTCCATACTGACCGACTCGGGGGTAGATGAACTTGCGGTCAAGGGACCTGCAGTCGATGATTCCGCTGTTGATGATTCTGAGGTTTCTGATCCCGAGATGGCCGGCTCAGAGGCTGTTGACTCAAAGGCTAATGACTCCATACTAGCCGACTCAGAGGTAGATGAACTTGTGGCCAAAGGACCCGCAGTTGACCATTCTGCTGTTGAAAGCTCTACAGTTGATGATTCTGCTGTTGATGACTCTGAAGTTTCCGGTCCCGAGGTGGTTGACTCAGAGGCTGATGACTCTGTATCACCTGACTCGGACGTAGATGAAGTTGGGACCGAGGAGCCTGCTGTTGACGATTCTTCGTGTGCGCACTCTGAGGTCGCTGAAGACTCAAGCTCACTCTCGGTCTTGGAAGTCTCTTCTATCGTAGATTCAAGGGGCTCAGTAGTAACCAAAAATCGCAATGTTGACGTTGAGGTGCCTAGCGATGTCGTGTTTGATGCCTCCAAGGATTGCATTGCTGGCCACCTGACACCAGTTGATGTCTTTGCAGGCTCAGGCGATGTCAAAGACTCGAGGTCAGTCAAAGCTGTGGTTGATTCGGGTGCGTTTCTTGTTGTTGAAACCTTGGATATCTCTGATGATGTAGAAGCCAAGAGCGATGCTGAGGTTGTTGAGGACCCCTTCAGTCTTTGCAAGTTCAGGGGCTCAGATGCCTTTAGCGTTGAAGACTCGACCTTGTCTTCTGCCGCTGGAGAGCTCTGCTCAGACTGGCGGAATGAACTCAGATAACTCTGTGTTGTGCTGGAAATCGATGTAAGCTCTGCATCGGTTGAATAAACAGCACTCGACGTCAGCGGCTCGGCTGTGGATGGTATAGTTGGGCCCATGCTGTTTTGGATGGAGGAGTCATATAGATTTGTTTGTCCAGAAGTTATAGGAAGCTCAAGCTCCTCTGAAGAGGTCCATGCAAGGACATAATCTAATGTACTGCCACTCTCAGATGCTGACGACACTTCAAGTGCAGCAGTAGAGGTCAATGTTGAGGCAAGTAATGTTGAAAATGAAGCACTCTCTGGCTGTGCATGCTCGAAAGACGTTCCCAAAGTCTGCTGAGGGACACCCGCTGAAGGCTCTGGCCCTACATATTTGTGAGGGAAAGTAGTATACTGAGTGGATGTCAACGAAGAAGGCGGTTCGCTAGCATAGCCTGTTGCCGTCTCAGTCTTTGAACGTTGTATATCGAGTGATGCATTGGTTGAGAAGGACGGATGTGCTGCAGGTGACAGACTTGTTGAGGTCTGTGCTCCGTTTTCTGGAAGAGTTGAGGGTAAACTTGTTGACTTTGAAAGGGTCGAAAGAAGGCTGGATAGTCCAGGCTGCTCAGACTGAGGCGCGCTGCTGGGAGAGAGACCGGAAGATGAACGCCGCCCTGAGTAGGTGGAAGAACCCTCGAATGCAGTATTGGTGTTTTTCTGGGAACGATAGTCCTCTGTAGAGGAAAACGGGGTGCTGGAAGCCTGTCTCTGCGGATAGCTTGTACTCGTGCTGTCTTCGCTGAATGGGACGGTTGGTATCGATGTCTTAGCCTTGCTAAATCCCGCTACACTCCCGGCAGTAGCCAGATTGTCGCTGCTTTTAATGCTGGATTGGCCGCTCAAACGTCTTTGGGATGTCTGCTCATGCGGTTGTTGCTCTGTTTCAGTACCTGGTTCAAGAGCAGAGGCTGTTGCAGTAGTATCCTGAGTCGGATTGCCCGAGACAAATGTGTTGACTCGTTCTGGGCTAGAGCTGGACACAGAACTGCCCTTGAGGGAGCTTTTTGTAGGAGATGCAAGGGCAGAAGCTGAAGAGTCCCTCCCGGAATAAGGAACCAAGGGGTTGGACGTCGAATGTGATAAACCTAGCTCTGTAGAACCAGGGCCCGATAAGCATTCTCCCTTTTCATTACACAAGCTAACCCCTGTTAATAAAGACTCAAGCGTGAAATTTAAAAGTGCCCACGTACCTCTTTGCAAGACTGGTAATGGTTTCATATTGGGTGAGCTCTGTGACGAGCACGAGCGGGGCATCGGTTACAGTAATGGTCAGAGTTTCATCCACAGTAATGGTCGTGTTGGAAGCAATGTAGGCGCTGAGTTGAACAGGTTTCTCGACAAGGACGTGGACAGGCTGGAGTTGAACATAAGCCAGCCCAGTCGGGCATATCGGGGCAGGATGTTCGACAGCAGAAGCCAGCCAGAACTGCAAAGTGCTGGCTACGAGAGCTAATCGAAGTTTATTATCCATGATGGATTTGCACAAAACAAAGCGTGCTAATTGACTGCTTGATGGCAGATTGTTAAAACTGGATTGATATCTCGGACTATATGTACTCGAGGTAGAACAGTTGTTGCTCGCAAACATTTGACTCTACCAACATGACGCAACTTCTCTCGGAGGTTCGGACAATCCCAGGACACGATAAGGTTTGAAACCTTTTTTGTCTTTGACGGGTATTCATTATCCTGGCTCGTGAGATCGGGTCCGCCACATTCGCGGCTTCGCTTGATCTTGATGTGGAACATGGCGTTGTGGCTAGACCAAAGTTGGCTTGGTTGAATCTGCCAAACCTCGGTACCGGGACCATGGGCCAGGTGTAGCTGGGCCAGACCCTTTATGACCTCATAATAAATCCAGCCTCCTGGAAGCGACCCACGAGCTGTCAGGTACCGGGTGCTCCGGTAGCCCCACTCAGAGGTCTAGTTCAGCTGTCAAGGCTGTCAAGACCACGTGGCGGTAGGTTCCGTTTACCAAGCGTAAAACTCATGCCGCCGTTGAAACGGCGACGCCGAATCATCCACAGCAGAGACAACCGAGCTGAGCCAAGACGCTATAAACGGTGTGGTCTGACTGCGGTGCCGCAGAGAAATGGAGAACTTCTCTTACAAGGCTTCTAGAACCTCGTTTTCGTTGTTCCCGACAATCCGTGAGCCCGTTAAGCAAGAGAAATTTCAACTTGCCAAGCTGGAATACGGGCCCTAAACAAGCATCACGTCCGAAGAACGGGGCCCATTTACCGGTTACCAGGCTGGAGTGGAAACATCGGAAGAATTTGAGCATCTCGTGGTCTTTGACTCGATGAAAGAAATTTGTTGATTAGAGAGAAGTGGCGAGTGAAAAGGGGAAGGATTAGATATAAACCCCTGATGGATCTGCCATCCGATCGAGTCAAACAGAATCAACATTCAAGCTCTGTATCAGCCCTTCGAAACGTCCCATATTCATCTACTCCATTTGTCATCTTCCTTCAGCAGCCAAAATGAGCAAGTCCATATTGCTTCCCCTGCTTTCTGGCGTTTTCATCCTGTTAGCTGATGCAAGGATGGCGCCAAATTCCCCCTCAGAATCTGACCCTTGTACTATCACCATCACACTCCCACCATCTCAAGCCACCACTCGAATTCCAAGAGTCACCTTGACATTAGACGAGCACGCAAAGTTCGTCAAGGCAGAACCACGAACTGTCTCTGTCATCATACCCACTCAGCCTACCTATTCCCCAGAAGTGCATTCCGAATCGTCACCACATACCGACACAGACCTGCCTGTGATCGGCGAGAGCAAGTATCCGCTCTCGACTGCTCTTTTGAAGTCATCTCCAGCCTCTGAAAGCACACGACCCTCTGGCGGCGCGCAAAGTACACCCCTAAATATCATCAGCGCCGAGACCTCGACGCTAGAACACACCAAGATCACACAGACACACTCGGTGATCACTTTCTCCACCCAGGTGTCATCTATTACAAGTGGTTCGGGCGAGGATTATGGCTTTCAAGAAAGCAGTAGAACTGTTGAAGGCTCAGCCGTCGCCACGTCATCAGATTCTATGACAGTCATCTCGTCAACGCCCTCCCAGAGTGATGAAACGTCGCTATCAGCAGCCTCTACGACACCTAAGATCCTTGCATTAGATAGCTCAACATCGAGCTTCCAAGATGCTGGAACCAACCCAACAAGCTCTTCAAGCGTTGAACCCTTCCCAACGCAGGTCTCTAGAGCAATCTCGTCGCGCGTTGCGTATAGCTGGAAGACTATTTTGAGCTTCATTGCAGTAATCTTAGCTCTTCGTAATTAGAATGCGATGATTTTGTATTTTTCTCAAGATTGAATGAATTATATGTCCAAAAATGGTGTTCTCATTCGTCCCATCTGTGACTAAGATATAAAATCCTCACCTGGGAAGGTACAATGAATTTTCTTAAATGCTGTTGTTTACTCGTAGCCAGACTTCAGTACCTAGGAGGTGAAGAAACCAGTTTTTGGTACCCTACAGGATCTCAGTAAACGCGGCATCACGTGACACGGAAGCCCAAGTTCTCCGAATCAAGAGGGTCGTTTCAGGTGGCTGAAACTAAGCGAGGAAACTCTAATGCCTGTCAGCGGGGCCCATGACGTCGGCTACGTATATTTTCTTCAAGTCCCGGAGCTTCTCTCCGGGCCAGATCGCTTGGCGTTTCTCGGTTAGCCCCTACTGTTGGCGATCAAGTTTATCCCAGCGATCTGGCCGGAGCAGTTTCGGGGATGCATTGATGCGCCGCCGCCGAGACACGGTAGTCTATCAGTTTGTCAAGGCGAAGGTTAGTCATAATGAACTTTTGATGGTTGCCACCGCAATTGTTGTTCCTGTTGTAGGTACAATATTTTGGTTTGCAGTAATAGGATCCACTAGGTTCACTCAAGGCACAAGGAGGACTCCATGAATACACAAGAACCTCATGCGTGGTAATTAAAGTCTAGTTACTTACTCACGATTTGAAACCAGGATAGAAATCTATAGGCTGTGATTAGAGGAAAAGTCAAAAGAGGGCGCGTTTTAAGCATAAATACTTAAGGAGCAATAGCCCAGAGATGTCCCGGCTTTTAGAATCTAGAATCCGCTGAGGAGGAGCATTTTGTTGCTAACTGGCTAGCGTGTTATTACTCTAGCCTATAAGATAAGTATATAAATCCCGACGTGTCTACAAACTCCAAGACAGCATCTTGAGCACGCGTCCCTCGTCCACAGAGTGAACTTTTCCCAAACAGATAAAGTTCGAGAGTAACATGCCAGAGCATTCATAGAGAGGGAGCATCATTGATCAGAAGTAACTTGAGTTAATAGATCATATCTATTGGTACATGAGAGACAAGACAACCAGACCAAAAAGCCACAAATACGAGAAAGATAAGCAATTCCGTATAAGGCCATCCTGAATAAGACTCCGTACAAACCAAATTCACAGCACATTTTTCACACCTTGTTTAGACAAGTGACGCCTTCAACGCATCTTCCACTCAATGTGTGGGCATCAGCTGAAAACAAGAATGTCTCGAACCTAGCTCTAGTGGCACAAGCAAATGTGAAAAAGCTCTAAGTGGAGTAGAGATTCCTCATGGTAGGAACCAAGTCCATGTCAAGATCAAACACGCCATTCATACCTAGAACGCCAAGTCTTGCCTCACCAAGTCCCCGATCAGCAGTTAAATCCATGCCCTGGGTAAGTTCAAGCCTATCATTGTCAATGAGTGTCGGCAACTCGGCATCGTTGGACCCAAAGAGCTCCCCAAAGGTTTCAAAAGTAAAGTCTGACATGATCCAGCTATTTCGACGATCGATACCTGGCTCAGCTATCCACGGGGTGGGTAACTTGGTTAGACTCTCTGTGTGTCTTTCGGCCATTGTGTCTAGGGGGTTGTGATTGTAAGAATAGTAATCTGCTCCTTGATCCCTTTGTGTGCTGCCGCCATTGTCGATCGCCAAGACTTTGAGCTGGTTGGTAAAGATATTCGACGCTCCTACTCCGTATTGCATTTGCCTGGGGTCTTGATCTTCAGTTTGGGGCGGTGTGAGATGGTGTGTCATACGCTCAGAGACGGAATCTCGTCTGACACTGGATGGGCTTGGGTGATTCTGGCCGTCCTGCGCATCCAGATTTAGGACACGTTCGACCAGCCGACTAAGCCTGGAGACGCAACGAATCATCTTTCCAGAGACCCATCTCTTTTGGCAGTACTCGTTCAAGCACCGAGTAGCTGCAAGGATGAGACCTCCGTATCTCCTCTTGGACCCTGGTTCCCTTGACACCAGGCCTATCATGACCATCGCGCAGCTGGTGACGTAGTGGCTTAGTGCGAAGCTGTACTTGATGCCGTTGTCTAGTATGTTTTGGTGCGTAGTGAGGATCCGTGCAGCGAGACTTGCACACTCTATGGATGACTCAAGGTCATCCTCCTCTGTATGATGTCTTGCGCTTGCATTAGGTAAGAGTGGCCTTCTAATTAAAAGGCGGAGATATGTACAGCACTGGGTGGAGTATTAGTTACATCTACCATAAATAGAGATACCGCACGGCAAAACTCACATTATTGAAAAGAAAAGTCTGTTTCACTTGCCATCGCGGCCTCGTACCGAATTGGGTTTCGTAGGGGACGTCGGGATCATACTGGAGAGTCCTCGGAACCGTGCTGAGCAAATTGTCGATCGCGGTATCGACATATTCAACCATAGCTGATATGGAACCTGCAGATGCCTTGACACCGTATAGAACTTCCCATGTCTTGCCGGCCACACGACCATAGCGTACCATGGCCAAGACGTATGGAATGCATGAAGGAGATGAGTCCCTGGCTATCTCGGCGGCCACTTCGTGCTGGAGGTCTGCTAGCGTCTCCTTTCTCGACGCAAAGCGAGTCATCCACTCATCGCTGAGATCGATAGGTAGTGCTGTATCGACGTTGCTGTCCTGGATGAGATATGGCTTGCCGGATTCGATGGCTAGCCGACGATCCAACATATAGATAGCCCACCAAGTGCGGGAGTATAACTGATTGTAGTAGGCTGGCATTTTTTCGATGGTGCTCTGACGATGTAAACCTATTGTTTGCGCAACCGACACAGTGAGGGCGTGAACTCTTGCTGCTTTCTGATTTGCGTCTAGGCGGAACAGATACATTGACTAGACAGGGTTACCAAGGATGTAAGGATAACATATGGTGTATTGACTTACCCTTATCATCAAGACCTGCAACATGAGCAAAGACTTTATAGCCGTGTTGCTGGTCTCGAGTAGATCGCCAAGCAGACTCATACCGACGTTATGCAAGCTCCAACCGGAAGAGTCAACGCCGCTGGGGTCGGTGCTTCTTGCTGAAATACTGCATCGTCCAAGTGCAATACAGAAACACACCAATGCTAGCGAAACGCGTAATAGGTCTCTGTCAGTTGAGTCGGCAGAGGTGCTAAGGGCTGGATACTGCCACATTTCGTTGAAGACGTCCCAAACGGCTGGTGGATGAACAACTGGATACATCGTATGGACCTCGTCCATGTAGACTTGTAGATGATATCTACATTGTTGCTCATCGGCGGTAACACCATGGCTTGCAAGAAGGCTCTCAAACCATCCCCTCTTTCGACCTGTCACGTGGCCTGGTGATGTGGCTGGGAGGTGGAGCGAGGACGCTGGCGAGGAGTAGTCCACACGCGTCGCCGAGGATGCAGAGCTGTTGTGATCCAAGCGGTCGTTTTCGTCTTCGAATGTCGGGGTCATTGTTATCTCTCCTGCAAATGTCTGGCCGTCCGTCTCCAGGGCGTCTTGTAGTTTGGCCGCCGAGGGTTTGAGCTGATCATCAACAGATGTGTGACTGAGCGCTGGTCTGACAGGATCCGGATTGGGCGGTCGCAAGAGACGTAGGTGACGTTCTACTGCCTCTAGACGAACCAAAACCTCGCGGCCGATGAGACTATGATGAATGAGCTTGTGTGATAAAGTAGGCGCAGGCGTAGCGAGCATTTACCCATCGCTCGAGGAGTAAGAAGCTTGGTCTTGACTCCCACCAGAGCCTGTTCTCGAGTCGCGCCGGCCCGGCTGTCCGCCTCTTGGGCCAGATGATTGACAAGGAAGCTTTTTCGCAAGACATTGCCGGCATGGATCTCCGCCCTCGCACTGGCATATTTCAACAAGTCAGGAACGCATTCGTGGCTCAAAGTCGGAGGCAGAAGACGGTAGTACACCATGAACCAACCTTTATCTTGCGCTGCTGGCAGGATGTACTGCGGCAATTAGATATGCTGTCCGAATGCACTGCCGGAGTCGCGGATTTGACGTACCAAGCTCTGGATATGTATTTCCCTCTCTTCATCTTCTTTGCAGGTCGCTCTGTGGGCTCAGCGCCCCCTGTGGTGGTTTCTCCAGCGACGTCTCGCTTCTTGGCTCCATCTTGGTTGTCCTGAGGCGCGATTTCGGGCACACGGTGAGTATTCGGCGTGGTCTGGTCTGCGGCCTCGCTGGCTGCATCACAATCTTGAGTATCCGACGGCGGCATGGTGTCGATTTGATGCGAAATGGAAGACAAGACGAGACAAAAACCTGGAGAAGCCCAGCCAACGCGGGTTTCGGTAGCCAAGTTGACAGATTGCTCTGCCTGCTGTGCGTGCAGACCCCGGGCAGGCCGAACTCACCGCTGCCGAGATGCTAGTGTGTCAGGGTTCCCCGCAACCCCGCAAATCGAGGCTGGGTTAGTTACAATAGTGTCTGGGGAAGAACCCCAAGGTCGCATCCTCTACAGGCTCTGCTATAGCATTTAGTGGGTGGCTGGTCACGCGGTTGTCTCGTATTGGATGGCTTACCCTGTCCTCAGCGGGATTTCGCTGGAATTTCCGAGCAATGGGTCTCAACAGCACTGCCACTCCATTCTATTGGCTAGTCTAGCTGGTCTGGGTCGCAGCCGATCTCTATAGAGTTTGGCTAGTTGTACACTACCCAAGGGTTCGAGACCGGAGATGATCGGCCCGTACGTGGATATTTGAGGGGGCCTGTAGTCCTGCCCGGGCACTTCCGTGCTTGGTCTTCCCAACTTCGTTATGCTGGGAAGACCAAGGGACGGGGGTACATTAACTAAGGAATAGGTCAGTTAAATGGGGACAAAATAAAGATATCTCCAATTACGTGGGCCTTAGCGTAAGTAGAAGTCACTCAATTACTGAGAGAATCTTGAATTCTGCACTGATGATCCTCGTGATGTGCCATTACCCCGCTCATCGCGATAGCTTCACGGTAAACCTCTTTCATCCGCCTCAACGTAACTCAACCACAACAATTATAACTCTTCACTAATCACGAATATAACTACTTCATTAGAAAGCCGCAAATTTGAATCTACTATAGATGAAAAGCGGATTAATCCAGAGACTGGCTTACCTAATTTTCACCGCTTTAACTCTTAGAACCTCGAAGAACATACGGTCGCCTCAGCAGCTCTCATCAAATCAGGGTCTTATCCCTCTATCGCGGCTGCTGCCCATGCCTCCAAAGTCTTATACAAGAGACTTCTTTCGAGGGTAAAGGGAGCGAATCCACGCAGCCAAAATAGCAGTAACAACACTCTTTTTTTCACCAGAAGAGGAACATGCTATTATTATGTGGTATTGACGGCGTGTTACTCAAAGACATCACATACAATACCGTACTCTTCGTCAACATGCGAATGCCGTCCACAGGGCCGCCGGCAGATGCGCCGTCCTAAGGAGAAGAATCTCAGTCGCCGGGCTCGCGATAAAGAGACATCAATCGTGGCTAATTACGGGCTGATTCATACCTCCAACGCCAGACTACGCATCGCCAAAGACAGTCACAACTAATAGTGACAGCAAGAAGAGGAGGAATGGCGGTTCAGGAAGAGAGTAATAAAAGACGAGATAGCCTATGTACGTAGGTGGGTTATAAGGGTCCGAGGAGTCGTTCGTGAGAGTATACAGAGAGAGTAGTGGACGAAGACTAACCGACGCCTCTATCTCTCATCCGCGAAGTAGATAAGTAAGAGGTATGCGCTCCATCGTGAGATGAGGGAAGAAAGAGGACTTCTACCTCACAAACGGACAAGAGATTGTATGCAACGGATGTTTATACTAACTTCAATGCTATGATAAACGATTACTTATAACCCATCCCCTCGCCCCTAGCATCTCTAAGACCCTGAATCCATTCTAACTCATCACCTCGAGCTGCTCGTCTACTTGCGAGAGAGAAGCTGCTTCACAGCAGATCGCAAGACCGCCGTCGGATCTTGGGGACGATCAATCGATCGCCAGCCGATATGACGATCAGGACGAACCAAAAGTGCGCCACGGTCAGTGATCTCTCTTCGGCTCGCCCACTCGCCCGAGACGTCGCTGTAAGTGCAGCATTGGCCGACAAAGTACACAGGTAGCTTGATACCAACTTCCTTACTGACAACAGCAGCAGCTTCCTCCCAAGGCTTTCCGCCAATACCAACGACAAGGCCAAAGCTGCCAAACTCAAATATATCGAGAATGGAGATGCGCTTCTTATCAAGCTCTATCCAGGCATGGGGCACGTAGGCACCAGGGTGCGTTGTGGTTGAGTAGTACAGCACCGGGTCACGCTCATATTCAGGGAACGGAGTTCCATCGTCAAGCACTGCGACCGAGCTCTTGTACCGATGGCCGAGATGGACTCCGAGGGGGTTGGACCGACGGTTGCCCTTATTCATCTGATCCTTCAGAAACTCGCGGCGCTGAGCTGCACCGTCAGCGTCGGAGAAAAGCTCCTCAAGCTGTGCAAAACCATCTTCCCGGGACTGGCCTCGCTCAAAGCCCAGAGCTTTGGGAAGGGCCGCCATGTCGTGAAGGGTCTCGATTGCGTGGTCGACGATCTGCTTGCCAATAGGCTGTCTCTCCTGGTTGTAGCTCTCAAGAAGTTCCTCGCCAGCCTGGCCTTTAATGACAGCGGCTAGCTTCCACGAGAGGTTATACGCGTCTTGCACGCACGTGTTGCTTCCCAGTCCACTAGCAGGCGGGTGACGGTGGGCCGCATCTCCAGCAAGGAAAATACGTCCGCGGCGGTACTCGGTGGCCACGACGTGGTTAACTTGCCATTTACCCTTGTGCTTGACTCGAATGGGCAGTGAGTCTGGAATTTGCAGTGCTTGACGAGCATGAGCAATGATGGCTTCATCGCTCATATCGGGCTCTCCATCTGCGGCGTTATACTGCCGGTTGACGACCCATTCATCCCACGGCCTCTTGAGGATGCAGGTTCCAGAACCAACCCAGTACTCGTCTCCGGGCTGTAGCATCAAGTAGATACAGGCGGGGCGGTAGGAAACATACTGGGTTAGGTCCATCTCTACCCAGGAGCTAATCATATGCATAAGTCCTGGCTCGCCGATGAAACCAAACCCAACTTTCTGGGCCACTGTCGATCGAGCTCCATCTGCACCGATGGCGTAACGGGCGCGGATGGTATATTCGCCTCCACAAGTCCTTTCTCGCACGCGAGCGACGACACCCTCATCAGACTGTGAAATGTCCACCAACTCGTGGTAGAAGCGAATGTTAGCCCCCTTCTCGTAGGCTCTGGTCAGCAGAATAGGCTCAAGCAGGTTCTGAGCCGTGTTGTACATCTTGCACGGGCTGGCTTTTGCAAAGTCGGTCAGCTGATGATCAGCACCGCCGTAGCAACCATAGCGTCCAATTTCTATGCCCGTGAGGCTGGTGGCCAAGACCATGTTGCCAAGATCGGGCAAGCAGGTCCCTGCGACTTCGACTTGCTTTTGAAGGCCCATGTCACGGAACACCTCCATGGTGCGCTGGTTGGTGACGTGGGCACGCGGAGCGGGCGCGGTGCCGCTATGCTTTGCAATAGCGAAGACTCGGATGCCCTGTGCAGCTAGCATGGATGCGAAGGAGAGTCCAGATACGCCGGCACCTACGACGAGGACGTCGGTTTCAACATCGGCCATGGTTGGTGGTTTAGCGTCAACGTGACTGGGGATCAGTTAGTATGCATGAGATCTAAGGTGGTCTTCCAGACTTACTCTGAGTGGGAGTCCGTGATGGTAACCATGTTGATAGTTGTTTGAGGTAACCCCTTCAGTTGTGAGCTTACTAAAGGTGGAATGTTGTGATGATATGGAGCTCGATCCAAGCTTCAGCTACACAAATCGGTGCAAGTCAAAGCTGGCTCTTACTGGTGAAAGTGAATTACTAATTTTTGGTGATATCCGAGAATAGTGATAGCAATCAACTATTTAGGTCTTGAGTTATGTTAAAAGATGATGATAGTGGATGGGCAGTCGGAACGGGTGCCTCAATTTCCGTCCGGGGGCCGGGATGGGGTTCTGTAAGTGTTGGTGTGATCTTGCCATAATTCAAGTCTGTCAGCCGGCGTCTTAAGGTTACCCGGTGGGGATGGTTTCTCATTGGTGCTTGCATATGCCATGGCTATTCTCAGGACTCATGAGTATGTCATAACAGTCCTTATTTCAGAGACTCAGATAGCCGATAGACACGCCGTATGGGGCGAAGTGGCCAGTGGGGCGGCACCTATTCCAACAAGACAACTCATCTCCACGTTTTGCCAATTCATTCACATTTCAAACAGACCTCGGTTCACTGTTTCCCACTATTTCCCCAGGGTTTGTGAGGTGGGGAAATCAACTGTGCGGGACCAAAGAATGACGAAGGGATTTCGGGATTTCGGAGCATTGATCAAGCCCCAATCAGCTGGCCACACTTTCGAATGGACCTCGGTTCACTGTTTCCACTATTTTTCCAGGATGTGTGAGGTGGAGAAATCAACTGTATGGGGAGCAAAGAATGACGAAGGGATTTCGGGATTTCGGAACATTGATCAAGCCCCAATCAGCTGGCCACACTGAAGCGCCTTGTTCTAGACGCTCAGCACCCCACACTTCACCCAAGTCGCCTTTAATCAGTTAACTCTAGGGTTAGTCTCATTGACTGTGTGCTTGGAGTAGGACTGTGTGTAGGTGCCTTCGGGTTGTTTTGGGCATTCAGTATCCCAGTGTAGTCTTCATGGAAGGGATTGTTGGCCACGCAGATAACACAGGGTGGTCTACTTTTACAAACACATACATCCAACATATGGCAGAGCAATAATTATGTTGTTGATATTGACGATTGACCCTCTAGGTCATCTCTCCCACCATCCCTACCTTCTTTACCCAACTCCAACCCAACAACCACAACGTCAAAGAATTCTTTTCAAGAGCAATATGACCCTCCAACAAATTCTAAGATGGCAGAGCAAAGTCTGAAGCAACCGATCACAGGTGTTGTGATACCTCCTTCGACAAAATACCCCTTCTGGTTCGGAGGTAGCGCCACTGCAATGGCAACTATGTTCACCTACCCACTGAACTTAGGTTAGACTTCAGATTCGACCATCACCATGTCGCTCACAAACAACGCAGTCAAGGTTCGTCTACAATCAACACTCATGCCCGCTCAAGCATCCATTATCGGAATGACCACTCATGTAATCGCCACTGAGGGTTACTTTGGTCTCTACTCCGGCTTGAGCGCTGCTCTTCTTCGCCAATTTACCTACTCAACCCTCCGCTTTGGAGTGTACGAAGATCTCAAATCACGACTACCTCACCATGAAGACAAGACGGCTCACTCTCCTCTTGCTTTGATATCCCTCTCCGCTTTGTCCGGTTTCTTGGGCGGTGTGGCTGGGAGTCCAGCAGATATCGTCAACGTACGGATGCAGTCTGACATTTCAAGACCGTTGAAAGAGCAGGAATTATACGCATGTTTTTGACAGCATCGTGCGCATCGTGAAGACTGAGGGATTGACCTCCCTCTTTCGCGGTGTGGGCGCCAATGCCTTCTGGGCATCTCTCATGAACTCTTCGCAACTAGCCTCTTACGATATAGTCAAGGCATCTTGTGGCTTCTTTCACGGCGGGTGTTATAGCGACGACGGTTTGTTCGCCGGTAGTTGTAGTCAAGACTCGCGTGATGGGTTCGACGAGCAAAGAATCTATATGGCACATCTTGCGGCGCTCGACATTTTCTGAGGGACCGTTTTAGATGTTTAAGGGTTGGGTTCCTAGCTTTCTTCGTCTTGGACCTCAGACTGTGTTGACTCTACTTATTCTTGAGCAACATAAGAGATTGTATAACAAGATGAAGCGTGAGTGACGCAGTATCTTATCGGACTTTAATCTGCCTATTACTCTCAAATAGGATAAATGTTTTCTGGGATAATAAAGCAGATAATTATATTACACCTAACTATTGAGAATACTAGCTGGCATCAAGGCCTTGTCTGGTATAGAAGAAGAATGTGGTTCTACGAATTTGCGTACTCGTCAATGAGATGTTAGTTTGGTGTCAATGCTGTGGTTGCAGTCGCTTCACTAATCTGGTATAGGTTACTCATGGCAGCCTCAATCGCATCCCCGGACTTCGTCTCCGCATGATGATGAAATTGCGCCACGGCCAAGTATGGGCCTCGGCGAGACTACTGCAGGATACGCGTAGAATTGTGGATTACGCCCAGCATCTTACTTGGCGTGTCTCAACATGGTAGTTACGTTATACTTCCGCCTGAAATTCCGTCCGAAGACGATTGGTTGCTATTGGCGATCTTGGGACTCCGGACTTGGCAAAATTTCCGGCCTCAAGCAACCGCTGTGAGCACCAAGCCTCGGCGGCTATTCCTTTACTTCCGTGAACCCCCATGGTCAACTGATCTATCGTTGCCAAATAAAAGGAAATTAGAAAGTTGGAAAAAACACGTCTTCTAATTCCACCACCAATCATTCCTCATTCCCCATCCAAACTCTCCAGATCTCACAGTCCAAACATACAAACATGGCCCCCGCACGTGGAAAAGTCGCCTTCGTTACGGGTGCTAATGGCATTACCGGCAATGCCATCATCGAGCACCTCATTCGCCAGCCAGAGTCTGAATGGTTCGTCCCTCGAGTGCCTTACTCTACGGGAGCATGTCTGACTCTCCAGGAAATAGGTCCAAAATCATCATCACGTCCAGACGAGTTCCCAAGCAAAGCCTCTGGCAAGACCATCGTGTCAGGTTCATTGCTCTCGACTTTTTGAACCCCGTCGAAGAGTTGATTCCGCTTATGGCACCTTTTTGCCATGATGTCACTCATGCATTTTTTACCTCATATGTGCACACGGCAAACTTTGCCAATCTGCGCGATAGCAACATCCCATTGTTCCACAACTTTCTGGTCGCCATAGACATTGTTGCTGCGAGCACACTGAAGCGAGTCTGTCTCCAAACTGGAGGCAAGGTTGGTATATCCCGAATTACCGACTTGTATTATCACGTTGACCAAAGTTAGTACTACGGTGCCCATCTTGGGCCTACCGAAGTCCCTCTTCACGAGGGAATGGGTCGTTATGACGATAAGGGAGAGAACTTTTACTATCCGCAGGAGGATTTCCTCTTCAGCCTCGCTGCCAAGCGTAGCTGGGACTGGAATGTCATACGCCCCAATGCTATCATTGGATTTACACCAGCAGGTATGTCTGGCTTTGCGGATGCCAACATCATAGCAGCTTACTGACTCTCATAATAGGCAACGGTATGTCCCTGGCGCTTACATTGGCCATCTACATGCTCTGTTGTCGCGAGATGGGCGTGCCCCCTGTGTTCCCAGGCAACAAGTTCTTTTACACTCGATGCGTTGAAGACTGTTCCTATGCACCTAGTATAGCAGACCTAAGCGTGTGGGCTACCACAGATGAGCATACTAAGAACGAGGACTTTGTCCACCAGAACGGCGATGTCTTTGTGTGGAAACAGCTCTGGACCAAACTTGGGCGACACTTTAACATTGAGGTCCCAGAGTTCACCGAATGGGCAGCAGAGGGAGACCAAGAGCGCATGGCCAACAACTTCCTCATGACTGAATGGTGCAAGGACAAGGAAGCAGTGTGGGAGAGAGTCGTAGCCAAGCACGGCGGCCAGCTCGAGGCTTTTGGCTGGGGCACCTGGGACTTTTTCGACTGGGCCATTGGAAAGGCCTGGTGCACCATCAGCACCGTCTCCAAAGCGCGCAAGTTTGGCTGGAAGCGATACGATGACACGTATGACACGTTCATTGAGACATTCCATGTCTTGGAGAACGCGGGTATCTTGCCGTATGCGGATAAGTGGCAGGCTGGGGATAAGAGCCAGTTTGGACAGACCGTTCTTGCGCCTCATCCTGCTGATGCCGTCACCCTTCGCAAGGCAAAGGCCAAGGCGCTGCAAAATGGAGTGATTGAGAATGGCATCGATCACAAGGGACTTGAGAGTGGAGATGTAGAGAATGGCGATCTGACTGTAAAGGTCTGAGGTGGTCATGGCAGCGTGTACTTGTTGCGACTGAGTTTGATCAATACTGTTTTGGCGCGATCTGAATGGATTGTTGTTGTGGTTGAGTTATTGTATTCAGTTGTTTATTCTGAAATAACTTATCGATATAAATTATGTTACTACAGCATATGTTCGTAACTTGTGACGGTGCATTTCGAGATGTAAGTAACATAATTCGAATCCGTCTTCATCATCACCCGTCATGGCTTCAAGCCGTCGTGATCCCTCCAAGGAACCACATCATCGGCAACTGTTATCTTCCCCTCACAGTCGTCGGACAACTTCCAGGCATTAATTCAACTGAGTTTCTTGGCAAGCAGCAAGCTCAACGCTTAATCAAGTTGCAACTGTTGAAGGGCCCAATAGCCAGGATGGTCCCGGTATCCCAGCATGTATTTGATCTTGGATCGGAATTTTCATTCCGTCTGGACATCAATTTCCAGCTAAGACCTCATGCCGCCCCCTTAGATCTTTTGCCACTCTGGTGTGGTGGCCGACAGCGGTCCGGCCTCTTTGGTCACTAAGACTCAGGCAAGCTAAGCGAGATTGTCCACGTAGCTCAAGACCCCCATCGACGAATTAAATATCAGTATCGCTATCAGACACTGTGATCAGATCATGCAGGAGCAGCCGGATGCTATCAAATGGCATTTATCTATCTATGAGCGAGCCTTGAAAACCATGGGATACGCAACACCGCACACTAACCCAAGGAGTTCTCCTTGGCGTTTTTGTGCTGACCAGGCCCCCGGAAACCTGAAGTGTCTATAAACAGCCTAGTCGAGCCGGCATCTGGCGACCCTCACCAACCGAGAAAGCCACTTTACCCCACGGGGCCCCGGATTTCGCAATTTCGGAACTGGCATCTTGGCTTCGTTCTCGACCCCCTTAGCTCAGCAGCACAAAAGAGTATTTGTAGAGACATTCTGGCCTGCTCGACAGGTAGAATCTGCAGTACTCAACTTGCAACGCTCGAGATTCACTATCAATAATCATTCATCTACGACGTGGAAGTCACCATGGAGAAGCCAGAAGTTGAGCATCTCTCCAACGACGAAAAGTCTGTCGGGCCTCGTGTAGTGGACAAGTTTCCCGTCGAGGCTCGAGCTGAAGCCGGAGTGCTTCTCAATGTTGAGCGAGCTGATGGGACCTCTCTTCGTCTCGCTGAGGATGGACATGTAAGTCTGATCACTCACAAACCGCCATTACTTACTGACTTGGAGGATTACTTTTAGACCGTACTTTTGCCTCAGCCAACCGACGATCCCGACGATCCTCTGAACTGGTCATCCACGAGGAAGCATCTCATTCTCCTCGTGGTGGCTTGGGCTGCCCTCACTTCAGACTTTACATCGGCCGCTGGCAGCGCTCCAGTCATTCTGCAGGCGGAAGAATGGCACAGGTCTCCCAATTCGATCAACCAGAACAACAGTATCAACGTCCTCATGATGTGAGCATGCCTTTTCGCTCTCCCCTATAACTCTAGCTAACGTGCTCGTTAGGGCTATCGGCGGCTTGATCTGGGTTCCCATGACTTCCATCATCGGACGAGCGCCAACCTTGTTCTGGTCTACCTTCTTCGGCCTCATATTCTCCATCCTTTCCTCTGTGGCTACCAACTTTGAGATGTTTCTTGCCGTGCGAGCTGTACAAGGCCTCTTCCTGACGTCTGGTCAAACAATCGCCATCGCCTTCATCAAGGACGTCTTCTTCTTCCACGAGCGAGCTCGAAAGATTGGCCTATGGGCTCTCATGTATATCACTTCTCCTTACTGGGGTCCATTGATCGCATACTTTGTCGTTGGCGCTACCCTCCAATGGCAGGATGCATTTTGGCTAGGAGTCGGAGTTACTGCCATCAGCTTGGTTCTTATCCTGGCCTTTCTCGATGAGACGTGGTATAACCGTGACCTTCCCATGTCCGAACAACCGCCCCGCGGCAAGGGTTTTGGTTCTCGACTTCTTCGACTCACTGGTGTTTGGCAGCTGAAGCATCGCTCTACATACTTTGAGACTGTTTTCAATGCCATCAAGAGAGTCGTGCAAATCTTATCAAAGCCCATCATTCTCCTCACTCTGTTTGCCTAGTAAGTATTTCCTGCATCTCTCCCTGACAGCCTAGAAGCTAACTAACCATCACCAGCTTCCTCAGCTTTGCGTGGGTAATCGGCATCAACATTTCGACCGCCATCCTCTTCGGTCTCCCCCAAGAGGTGGGTGGCTACGGTTACGGCTTTAATGGGCTGGCACTCCTACACTTTGCTCCGATTATTGGCGTTTTCTTGGCCGAGGGATTTGGTCACTTCTTCAACGACTATCTTACTCGACGCTACGTCGGAAAGCACAACGGTGTTTTTGAACCCGAAGCTCGCCTCGTCACCATCTACATCTCCTCTATTCCCATGATTGGTGGCTTGGTCTTGTTGGGACAGGCCTTGGCTAAACACCTCTCCGTTGCTGCAATCGTCGTGGGATGGGGTATGTATAGCTTTGGAATCATGCTGATGTCTGTGGCGGTCGCGGCATATCTCCTGGATGCATACCCATCTGCTCCTGCAGAGGTCTGTGGTTTGACTAATGTATTTCGAGCTCTGAGTGGTTTCAGTGTTGCGTATTACCAGCAGGAGTGGGGAGCCAAGGCTGGGTATGATGTGAGCTTCGGGACTCAGGCCGCGATTGTAGCTCTAAGTATGATTCTAATTGTCCTTGTGCATCGGTATGGCCATGGCCTTCGCCTGAAATATGGCCAAGTTAGGTAAAGGCAAGAGGTTTAAGGAGGAAGACTAGATAGATTATAGTATTAGCTAGAGAGAATATACTTACTAGTTTTACAAGTAGTATTATGCTTTAATATGCTAAACTTAGTTAGAAAATATATTACTTTATAAATAAGAAAGTTTATAATATATATAGTAAGCAAGTATAATAAATAAGTAAGTATAATAAAAATCCCTTAACTTATATTATCTTTATTTAATTATTTAATCCTTTATAATTTAATATATATCACGACCCAGAAGAACCTCACAACCACGTGACAGAAGATTAACCCACTATATTAGCTAATCACTACAGGATTATATTAGATTATACTAAGGCACTGTGATCTAGCTATGATCCGGGGAAGGCTTATACTAGATCATAGTCTATAACCTATAATCCCTTATAATCTAGTCCTAGGACCTTAGTATATATATTACGATTCGACCATAGTCTCATTATATGCCGAATCCCTCCCTATAAATTTCCTTTTTACCTAGCCTATTATATAAGGGTTATACTTTACCTTAGATTACTGTGATCTAGGATTACCTATAATCTAGGATTATTATAATTTAATACTCTTTATAATCTATTAGAGATTATAGATATATATATATTTCCTATATAATAGATAGAATACCTAATTATCTTAATTATTAATAATATTTAGTTATATTAATTACTAATTAATATATTACTAGGCTAGGACACTCTTATCTATCCTCTGCTTCTTACCTTAAACGCGCCCATAAACAACCTCGAGATAGCTAACCTAGGGGTAAGTATCTAAGCGCGCGCATATAGCCGTGGTTAACTTATAAAGATAAAGGGTTTATTCTCTCTATTACTTTTAATTATATCCTATTATATATTATATGACGTCGGACCTATTATTATGCCCTGGCGGGTAGTAGAGATAAAGGAGAGGTAGAAATAAGGTAGCTTACTTATTATAGGCGCTATAGAGCTCTGATATTATTCTCTATTATATCCTAAAGGAATAAGGGTTCCCTACTTGCCTTTGAATCCTCCCGGCGTATCTAGACCTTCTTATATAGCCTCTTATATTCTAGAGCTATTAATAAGTTATACTTATTTTCGCTTTTTATCTAAGTCCTTCTTATAAATTTATGTAATCGACTAAAGTATATTTTTTATGAGCTGTTGTTTGCGCCGGGTTATTATTAGCATTAGTATTATAATCGTTATACCTATTTTCTATATAATTATTGACTTTAATTTAAGAGATATAATAGTAAAGATTTTATATATAAAGTATTTTAAGTATGCTGGCTCTTATATTTACTTATGTAGTTATTCTCCGTAGTATATCCCGCTCGATATAGGGTAGCTCTAGCATATCTAGCTATCGACGACTTCCTAATATTGCGGCTATTCTATATATCCACGCCGCTATTATTATTGACGATAATCGTGACGACGCCGGAGCGTTTCTCTTGGGCGGGTTGGGTCTACCTGGGTTACGCTGGCCGCTCGGGAGGCTTTTTCTCCCCCCGGGTAACTAAAAAACCTTAGTCCCCCTTACTAGCTTTCCTAGTAGCCGTAAAGAACGACTAACCTTAGCTACGAGACAGAGCTATTATGGTGGTAAATAGCCCATAGCTCCTTATCCCTATTTGCCCCTATTATTATTATAGTTCCTTAGTGATAATTATAAGGCCCGTGATAAGGGCGATATAGCCGTATGGCTTAACTACTGCTACTATATTAATAATAAGCCTACTAGCCTAGCTGCCTCCCCGGTTCGATCATTACGCCCTTGAGCCCCGCTTGTCTTATTAATTGGGTTAAACCCTTGCGAGGCTAAGGGCTATTTAATATATTAGTTTAATAATATAGCGTTCTACTGGGAAGTATATCTATCCCGAACTTAGCTACCGAGGCCCCTCTGCGGAAGTAATAGCGATAGCATCTACTACTAATGCTATTACTATTAATTATTAGAGGAGGCTATGGCTATTATCCCCGATAATAACTTCTTATACCCCCGGTATACTATTTAAATTATTTATAATACTTTATTTAACTAAGGGGCTCTATTATTAGACTTATTATTTTTTATTACTTTATAATATTAATCTACCGCCTATATAAGAATAATATAATTAATATATATATTAAGTTTAATAGAAATATATATATTATAGAGTATTAAGTTCTCTTTTACCTTAGGTATATTTCTAAGCTAATTATAAATAGCTCATATAATAATAGATATTAGTCTATAATATATCTTATTATTAGGGTAATAAGTATAATCTCTGCCGCGAAGATCGCTAGTATATTTTAATATTAAATCTTATTAGATTAGATAAAATATCGGTCTAATAGTATTTTAAATAACCTAGAAAAGGCCTACCTATAGATTATTAATAGCGAAGTATTTTATATAGCTATAATTATATTTTTCTTCTAATATTAGGGTAAGATAATATTTTATTAAAGGATCCTTAAACCTAGCTATATAGCGCTAAATATAATTAAGAATTTACTTTTTTAGAGATTAGGAGTATAGTTTTAACTAAGTTATAATATTATTATTACTCTCTTCTCTTAGCTAAGCCTACTAATTAGCTCTATATATAGCTATTATTAACTCTTAAATAATAGGTATTAAATCTTATTGCCTTAATAGCTTATTATCCTTATTATAATTTATAATATTAATAAGTATAATATTAACCTAATATATAATACAGTCTATAATATATATTATAGTCTTACCTTTATTTTTTTTTATCCTTAGGAGAGACTATATATTAGGAAAATAAAAATTAAAATAATATTAAAGAATATGATAGAAAAGGTTATAATAGGTTTTCTTATTAAGTAAGGCAAAGAAACTAGCTTAGCGAGAGGTCTTTATAATAGGCATAGGGGTAGCTAAATTATTATTATTATTATTATTATCGCCGTTGCTATTACTATATTTTAGGTAAAAGAGCTAATATATATCTACGGCGGTATAGGTATTATTTCTAAGACTAATAGCTAATTTAGCCTAGTCCGAGACTTAAATAGATTTAGCGGTAAGGTCTAATAAGGTCTTAAGGGTTTTAAGTACCTAATAAAAGGTATTAAATTAATATTACTTATATAAAATAATAGGGTCGCTTATATTAGCCTTATAAAGCTTAACCTAATTAAGGTCTATTATAATAATAATAATAATAAATTAATTATACCTCTATAGGTATAAAGTATTACTTATATTATTAATTCTATAGCTAGCTATATAATCTTATATAGAGATATTAAAGGTTACCCTCCTTATTTAAGTTTTATATTAATAAGTAATAATAAGCCTTTATTACTTATTTTTCTATAGGGTAATAAGTTTATTAATAAGAAAATAAGTCTTATTATAGAGGTAAAGAATATTTAATATTTTTTTCTTAAGAGCTTATTTATTTTTATTTTTCTAAGTTAAAAAAAGGGTAAGGTCTTAGTTAGAGGTAGAGGCGAGCTATAGCTAGATCTAGCTATAATTATTAGGCAGAGTAAGGTCGCGATAATTAATATAGAGCTTAATATCTAACTTAATAGGGAGAGTATCTATAAATTAAGAAAATATTAAGGCTAATTAATATATTTACTTTAACCTAATAATAATATAATAATAATAAAGATATACCCTTATTATAAAATTCATAGACCTATTATAGATTATTTAAGCTAGAACTAATCTATTTTATATAGTCTTATAATACTTTAATATAATATTAGCTAGCTATAAGCTTAGGTTTCTTATTATTAATATTAGCCTAATACCTAAATAATAATATATAATAATAATAGAAATAATAATTTATTATAGTAATAATATTAATAATATTATTAATAATAATAGTACTATAAGTAACTTAGATATAATTCTCTTTAGCTTAATAGGCGAGATTATTATAATAAAAAGAGTAATAAAGGTAGGTAATATAATTATAGTCGAGGGGTTTATTATTACCGCGAGATTATAAGGATATAAAGAGGTAAATAAGAAACTTAGTAATAATAAGGTAATATAGTTTAGCTTAACTTTTTAATAAGTTAATCTCTATAAATAATAATAGAGAAGGCTTTAGCGGTTTAATAGAGTTAGAGGATAGTTAGTATTAGTAGTTAGCGGATAGACTAGCGGATAGGCTAGGCGGGGGATTAAATCTAGGTATAGTAGATTATATTACGGGCGGGGATAGAATTAATAGCTAATTATAATAATAATAATTAAGAAAAGATAGGTTATTATAGGTTAGTTAATATTATTTAGAGGTAGGCTAGGTTTAGTAATTAGAAATATAATTAGAGAAGCGGTTTATATTTTAGGATAGTCTAAGGTAGTAAAAATAGGGAAATAGTATAAGATTATAATAGTAAAGGAGCTATAAAGGCAGGCGGGGTAGAAGGTAGAGGGAAAGAAGAAGAGGAAGGTAAGATATAATAAAGATATATGTGTATATATGTATATATGTTTTATTGGGTATAACGAGAGGATATTTCCCAAGGGATAAACTAGTTATACTAGGTTTATATTAGTAGAAGAGAATATTATATAGCCTTAAAGGGTAGTATAAGTTATATTTAATAATATACTTAAAGATATTAAATATAACTAAGTTATATTAATAGCTAAGGTAGCTAATATATAAGAAAGTATATATTAGTATATATTATAACGTATATGATAAGCGAGTATTATAGACAAGCGAGTATCATAAAAATCCCTTACCTTATATCTTCTTTATTTAATTAATTAATTCTTAACTACCTAGTATATTAAGCTCTAATACTAAAGCTAGAATTCTTCTAGCACTTTAAGCCCTCTAAAATAACCTAAAACTAAGTATCCGATGCGCCGCAGCGATATATATAGTTTACTATTATACCTTATATCACCGGCAATAAGGCATCTAGTCTCAATGTAATATTATCCCTAATTTATATAAGCTATTTAATCTAGAAGAAGATATCTTTATTTACT